TATTTATTGTATATAATATATAAAAACTAAATATCCACCGAAAGTCCAATCGGTCAAACTAGTTCTGTACACAGGGTAGTGTAAATTATGATTACATTAGTTACCTTTGGACTAAAGGTGGCAAAGAACTTGATGTGTGGATGGAACTCCTCTGCTGCGTCCTCAAATGCATCGTAGTCTAAAATCACAAGACCATTGGTGAATTTTTCAAAACAGTTGACTCACTTAAATTTTGTGGAAAAGTTATAAAACAATGTGATCCCATTTGGATACGTACGGTCAGATTTCTCACTCTTGAAGAAGCCCACCAGCTTGATATCCTCCTCAATATTATGGAAACCTTTCAACTCACGTACATTGCTAATGATCTCAACTGGATCCTCAATGACCTGGTAAAAGAGTCAATCAGAATAGAAAGTAATGACAGTAAGACAGACTGCTGAAACTGAGGACCAAGTGTGCATTCGAGTAAGAAGGAGAACAACGGGGAAAAGGAAGAGCAGGATGTAAATTAAAAATGCGAGAGAAGTCTAAATAATTTTTCACGCACATCATAGAGGAATTCCACCAGCGTGTCCGCAGCAAGCTCTCCGTCGTACTCAATGACCTCATCCTCAAAGAAGATGTAGATACTGTCAGCCTCTTCCAGACCTGAGGAGCACAAAGATGGAAATGAACCTGTGAGAAGCTGGGTTTGAGAAATGTCCACCAGAGGTCATAGTTGTTCTTCTGCTGACGTCCTAAATTTTGACAAGAAATCTACACAAAGGGCATCAATAGAGCACAAAATAAAGCCTGAAACAGCAAAAAGTAATTTTGAGAAAACACACAATCAGATCCAATTACACTTTCACGACAGGTCAAAAAATGACTTGTGTTACATATGTCATCCTATTTCCTCACAACAACCCTATAATAGGCATGGACTTCTTTTTTCAATAAATATAAATGCGCACTAAAACTCACAAACAGTCTGCCATTGAGTAGCTCATGCATAACATGAACCTTTTTAAATAAACATTAATATTTTAGGGTAACATTTATATGGATTAATAAGTGAAAATGTATATTCTAGGTGCTGTGACTGATCACCATAGCCGCTTTCCGACCAAGTAGTTACAGGAACTTATTTATAGGAACTGTCCACTTCTAAACAGTTCTAAGAACTACTCTCCCCCAAACTCGGTTCCCTTTCAAGGCGGTCACTTCGACATTACGTCATACTGACGTATATGGGAACTCCTCCCTTCTCCATTTTCACTGAAATCTTATAGGTTAACTCCAGCTGGAGACAGCTGGCCAATTGACGCAAAACATGCAAATGCTGACCGGTCCGCGGGCAGTATAAATAGCATGGGCGCGACAATTACGTCAGAATCTCTTTCTTCACACTAGAAGTCTTATCTGAAGTCATCGTGGAAGTTGCAATAGAGGTTACTCACCATGTTTCCTCCCCGCATCCGATGGCTGCTACATGCCAGATATGTGCGGTATTGACTCGCTCTACCCAAACAAGGATCTACCGAGGCCGCACTCACGGACGACTGGCATACGTGCTGGTCTACCAGTGCGCGCCCTCACAAACTCCGGGCATCAGCAGGGATGAGGCCCACTGCCGCCAGCGGCCGCTGGTGGGCCCTCTCACGCCCAAAGAAGAGTTGACAGTCGTTCTCCCCTGTGGCCCAGTGGCGGAACCTGAAGCCTTCGCGCGAGAGACCCGTGTTCGATCCCGGCTCTCGCAGCAGATACATTTTAACCTGCCCGTCGCCTCTCCGGTCCTTTTCGCGGGCTCGCTAGACGGACTCGACGCGATAGGCTTCGTCGGAAAGGATACTTTTATTATTTTACTTAGCCCGGTATCTAACAGCCAGGCTACTTCAAGAAAGATTCCGTCTTCACGACGTCCTATGGTAAGTCATGCGAAGACGCATCCAGAGAGACGAGGCAAGGCGATGGCTCTGTGTCTGAAGGCGCGAAAGTGGTTGTTTCCCCCTGTGGCTCAGTGGCGAACCTCAAAGCCGTCGCACGGGAGACCCGTGTTCGATCCCAGCTCTCACAGCAGATAAAATTTAGTCTCGCCGCGGCCAGACATTAAACCGAAACTTTTGATCTCTATACGTCCAGCCTTCCTCGATGTCTCTCTTCGTCGGCACCTCGTCCCGCCTAATTCGGCTACAGCCGCCAAAACGGTTCGAACCCGAAACGAACCGGATCTTCACCGTTGGCAGAGGGCGGGACCGGGAATGTGGCGACACAGGCCACGGAGAGCGCCGCGTCAGGACGCTCCGCTCTGGTAATGGAGGTGCACAGCTTACAGCTTATGTCGTCAGGCTGCCCTGTATCCTTCAGTGCAACTGGCCATTCTGATTTAACCACGTATCCACAGTTGTTGTCGCTACGCCACTGACGCTGTGTTTATGTTCAGACTACACACTGATATGTGCTATGATTTGTGCCGTCATATATTGCCCTGTTTCTTTCAGTGCGAATGGCTATTCTGATTACCACGTATCCACAGTTGTTGTCGCTATGCCACTGACGCTGTGTTTATGTACACACTGCACACTGATATGTGCTATGGTTTAACTGTTATATCCTTATATATTGCCCTGTATCCCTCAGTGCAACTGGCTATTCTATTAACCACGTAATCACAGTTGTTGTCGCTACGCCACTGACGCTGTGTTTATGTACACACTGCACACTGATATGTGCTATGGTTTAACTGTTATGCCCTTATATATTGCCCTGTATCCCTCAGTGCAACTGGCCATTCTGATTTAACCACGTAATCACAGTTGTTGTCGCTACGCCACTGACGCTGTGTTTATGTACACACTGCACACTGATTTGTGCTATAATTTAACTGTTATGCCCTTATATATTGCCCTGTATCCCTCAGTGCAACTGGCCATTCTGATTTAAGCACGTAATCACAGTTGTTGTCGCTACGCCACTGACGCTGTGTTTGTTCACACTGCACACTGATATGTGCTAAGATTTGCGCCGTTATATGCTGCCCTGTTTCTTCAGTGCAAATGGCTATTCTGATTACCACGTATTCACAGTTGTTGTGCGATGAAATGACGCTGTGTTTACGTGCACTCTACACACTGATATGTGTTCATGATTCATGCCGCTATAAATTGCCCTGTATCCTTCAGTGCAACTGGCTATTCTGATTCACAGTTGTGCGATGCCACTGACGCTGTATGTACACTGATATGTGTGTGTTATGCTTATGCCACGATATTGCCCTGTACCCTTCAGTGCAACTGGCTATTCTGATTACTACGTACGTATTCACAGTTGTTGCGTTGCAACGGACGCTGTGTTACGTACACACTACGCACTGTTATGTGTATGATTTATGCCATTATATATTGCCCTGTTCCTTATCCTTCAGTGCAAATGGCTATTCCGATTGCTACGTATTCACAGTCTTGCAATGCAACTGACGCTGTGTTACGTACACACCGTACACTGCGTTATGAATTTTGCCGTTGTTGCCCTGTATCCTTCAGTGCAAATGGCTATTCTGATTACTACGTATTCACAGTTGTTGTGCGATGCAACTGACGCTGTGTTACGTACACACTACACAGCGTTATGTGTTGGGATTTATGCCATTATATATTGCCCTGTAATTTTCAGTGCAAATGGCTATTCTGATTACTATGCAGTACGTATTCACAGTTGTTGTGCGATGCAACTGACGCTGTGTTTATGTACACACTACACACTATGTGTTATGAATTTTGCCTTTGTATTTTGCCCTGTATCCTTCAGTGCAAATAACTATTCTGATTACTACGTATTCACAGTGTGGTGCGATGCAACTGACACTGTGTTACGTACATACAACTCACTGTTATGTGTAATGATTTATGCCATTATATATTGCCCTGTGTCCTTCAGTGCAAATGGCTATTCTGATTACTACGCAGTGCATATTCACAGTTGTCGTGTGATGCAACTGACGCCGTGTCTATGTACACTCTACACACTGTATGTGTTATGATTTATGCCGTTGTACATTGCCCTGTATCCTTCAGTGCAAATGGCTATTCTGATTACGTACACAGTTGTTGTGCGGTGCAACTGACGCTGTGTACACGCTACGCACTGATGTGCTATGTTTACGCCGCTAAATTTTGCCCTGTATCATCAGTGCAACCGGCTATTCTGACTTACTATGCATTCACAGTCGATGTCGCGATGCCTCTGACGCTGTGTTTTTGTACACACTAATGTGACTATGCTATCGCGTTGCCCTGTATCCTTCAGTGCACCTAGCTATCCTATCTAACTGTGCATAGTCACAGTTTGTCGCTACGGCGACTTGCGCTGCATCTGTGTCCACACTGAAGCGTTATGCAGTTATGTTGCTAACGTAACTGACCATTATGTGAACTGTGCATATTCATGCAGTCTCGGTCGCTTCGTCGACTTGCACCGCATTATACACTCAGATGTTTGATATGTGCACACTGATGGGTAATGCTGTTATGTTGCCCTCTATCCTTCAGTGCAACATCCAGCTATCCTATCTAACTGCATATTCAGTTCTGTCGCTATGGCGACTACACGGCACGTACAAGGACGTGTTTTTGCTTTTGTTGCCCTGTTTCCTTCAGTGCAAAACTAGCTATCCTAATCTAACCGTGCATATTCACAGTTCTGGATGTATGTACGTAAACGGATGTGTTATGCTGTATAGCTGCCCTGTTTCCTTCAGTGCTGCTAGCCATCCTAATCTAACTATGCATCTTAGTTTCTGTCTCTACACAGTTTCTGTTGCTACAGCGACTTACGCTGTGTTATGTACATGCAAGGATGCGCTATTCCTTACTCACTTGTGTTATGCTGCCATGTTGCCCTGTATTTCAGTGCAACCAGCTATCCCAGTCAAACTGTGCATATTCACAGTCTCCGTCGATACGGCGACAGGCGCTGCATTTATTTACAAATGGATGTGTTCATGCAGCGGTGTTGCCCCGTATCCTTCAGCCTAATACGGAGCTAACTGCGACCTATGCTGTACGTGCATGTGCTACGCTGTTATATTGCCCCGTTCCTATCAGGGCAACTGGTTATTCTGTGCAAACTCATATATTCACAGTTGTAGCTACAGTTATGACTGTGTTTGTTTGCTTACTGAGGTGCTATGCTATTATGGGGCTATTTTCTAACTGCGTATATTCACAGTTGTCGTCGCTACGGCCACTGGCACTGTGTTTATGTACATTCAGTTATGTGTTGATTTGCACTTCTGTACATTGGCTATAGAACATCGGCTATGTTCTACAAGGTGGCACCCCAGCCCCAAGCTGTGGAACCTTCTTGTGTGTCCGTTGCTGGGTCCTTAGTTGAGCAAGACACTTCACACTGACAAGTGCTGAGACGGAGCTCTCCCTAAGATGGCCTTACCACCGGCTCTCGCCCCAGCGAAGCACTTGGAGACTTACGCTCATTCTAGTGAATGTTGTCGCATTGTCTCGGACCTGATGACTGCAGCGTCACTCTCAGTCCGATACCAAGCTACGTTCCGAAGTCGCGTACACCGTTCAGAGCACAGGTTGATCCCTGCCCGCCTTATCTGCTGAGTTTCAGCCTCGCATGATGCCGATGCTCAGAGTGATGTTGGCCCTGTAAGGGATTTGTGGATGTACGTGGATCACTTGGCAGCAGTCTACCAGCTGTTTGTGTGCTTGGTGGATGGTACTAGGGACGTGCTGTTTTATACAGAGACTTCTCTCTGAATTCGATGCTTTAAATGGTTGCTTAATGCCTACGGGATTTAGGTATGCTGGCTGTCTTCTCAGAAAACATTCGCCAGGGTTCCAAGTTTGATGCACCACCTTAGCGTCGTGGGTTCGGTGAGTTTTATCAATGTACTCATGAAACTGTGACCACCAGCTGTGCAGTAGTCTGTATTGCAGAGTTACCATTGCTGCTAACTCTGTGTTATGACTATAAGGTTACATAGCTGTTTCCACATTACGCAGTAGTTCCAACGTACTGTTAACTCTGTGTGTGGCTTAAGGTTATGCAGCTGTCACCGCTATGCCGTCGACACTGTGTTAGCTCTTGTGCTCGAGTGCTTATGGTGTTCTGCTGCCCTGTCCAGTGCAGCCTTCGCCTCATTGCAGTGGATGCGCAACTTGGTAAGCCGGAGCAGACGTTGGTCTAGTTTCGCCTATCAGTTTTGAGTGCTCCTAGCGGCGCTGCTGGCTTAGAACTGTTGTTCCTGTGGGAGTGTAGCTTGACCCCGTTCAGGGCTTATCTTCACTGCGCTCACGGCGGGATTCTATACAGTTCCCATATACGTCAGTATGACGTAATGTCGAAGTGACCGCCTTGAAAGGGAACGTCTCCGGTTACTATCGTAACCTCGGTTCCCTGAGAGGCGGGAACGAGACATTACGTCAACCGCCGTGCTCGCCGTTTGATCAGCTGTGCTAGCGTTCAGTCTTGATTCTGACGTAATTGTCGCGCCCATGCTATTTATACTGCCCGCGGACCGGTCAGCATTTGCATGTTTTGCGTCAATTGGCCAGCTGTCTCCAGCTGGCGTTAACCTATAAGATTTCAGTGAAAATGGAGAAGGGAGGAGTTCCCATATACGTCAGTATGACGTAATGTCTCGTTCCCGCCTCTCAGGGAACCGAGGTTACGATAGTAACCGGAGACGTTTTGCTGTTTGCGTTCGCACTGGCCAAGTGGCCATAGGAACTGGTAGGAGGGGTAAGGGAGTGACGCAAGCACGGTGGCGGTGGCGGCGGCGGCGCCACATACAACAACAACAAACCAGCGTGGAGGAGGCTATCGGAATGTTCCTGTTCTGCCCTGTCTATGGTCCTGCCTTGCCGGGACCTTAATAACGGAGTACGAACGGCGGCGTTTAAAGATCTTGAGTTCTGTACAGAGAAACACAGAAGACGAAGGCTCCAGCGTAATATGATGGAAGAAAATAGAAGAGCAGAGCGCAGGAGGCAAACAAAACGACGGGTAAGTTTAGCAAGCATTAGCAATTAGCTGGTTGAATTCGTTATGTTTGTCTTAAGTTATGAGTTAGCATAGCCTACATAGGCGAATTGCAACAGACAGTGAAGAAAATGTGTTGACAGTGGGCGTGACTTATAGGTTGAACCAATCAACGTAGACCTAGGGAAAGGGAACTAAAAAAGTCCTCGCTCTAGACTACTGAAAGAGTTATAGGAACTACGGTCTGAGGAACTAAAAAATCCCCAACTTAGTCCGGTCGGAACACGCAAAAAAAATGGTTATAGGAACGTTAGGTTCTAGGAACTGCAAAAGTCCCTCCGGTCGGAAAGCGGCTCATGTCTCTTTTGTGGTGTGAAAAAAGTTTTTTTTTTTTTTATACAAATATTATACATTATACACAATTATGGTCATATTTGAGTGTTTTTGTAATGTAGTTACCTAGTTTCTTGGCAACAGCTCTGTCTGTCTTCTCATCGAGTAGGCCAATCCCGATGTCCTCGTCGTCAAGATCCTCCAGGACTTGTGCAGCAAGCTGGGTAACAAAAAATATAATTTTGAATGTCCTTCAGCTTCTTCGAACAGCATGTGTGATTTGGTCAAGATGTTTAAAAGCATGTTAGTGGTGCCCTGCCATGTAAGCTGTTCACACAAAATAACTGTGAGAGGGAACTCTTCAGAATTTTATTAGGGTTTGCATCCTGTCAGCACAATCATAATGCATTTATTATCAACCTGAGAGCTGGTTTTGGTAGCTAAGCTAACACGCTGTGTACAAACACACTGTTGGACAAGGACAGCACATTTGTTTTCTGCCTGCACAGATATTTCAGGCTCTGCTGTAAGAACTGTAGTTAGTTTCTTCCACAGTCTTACATCCATAAAAGCCATCATCAGGAGCGCTGCCCCTGCACTTTCTAAATCGGTGTGAAACTCGACCCGTATGATGGACAGCTGTCTCTACCAATCGCAGTGCTACATGCGCCTGCTGAGCCGGAGTAACAGGGTGCTGGGGTGGTGACAGGTTCTCCCAACCATTTCTCCAAACATTATGAGGAACTAAACTGAAACAAATGCCCTTGCAGTCCTATACAGATGCACAATATTCGTTTTATTTTTATTTTTTATCCATACGTCACTCTAAAATTGTTTAAATAATTCAGTAGTGTATGTAGAATAGGATATATCAGTAACTTACAAACTGACTTTGACTTTTTTTATTCCATGTAACACAAAAGGAGAAACAACGTTCTGGTAGCTCTTCTCCATGCAATTACTATACACTGGTACGGAAACTTCATAAAGGATGCAAAAGTGTCAAAAAATATCATAAACATGTTTCATGTGTCATTTATAAGGTCTTTTGATGTCATTGAAATAGAAAACTTTATTAATCCCCAAGGGGAAATTGCAGTGTTGCAGCAGGATTGTAACACAGAATACAAACCAAACATATTACATAGACTGACATATACTGACAAATAAATAAAAAAATACAAAATAGATAAAAATATTACAATGATACATTGTAATATTTTTATCTATTTTTATTTATTTGTCAGTATATGTCAGTCTATGTAATATGTTTGGTTTGTATTCTGTGTTACAATCCTGCTGCAACATTGCAATTTCCCCTTGGGGATTAATAAAGTTTTTCTATTCTATTCTATTCTATTCTATTCTATTCTATTCTATTCTATTGATTCGCATAGCTTTGCATAAAAAAACTGTGAGCCGTTAACGCATACCAAGCTAACAAATATGTTCTAAAAACATTTTGCTAACGGTCCCATTAGGTTCTGAGACATTTTTTTTTTTGGTTATGCAAACGTTAATGGAACATCCTTTTTATCATTTTGCAAACATTATGGGAACATCACTTTTTAAAGTTCTCTGAACATTTAAAAAACATTAGACAACATCCAACTAAAAGGATTAAGAAAAAATGTATTGTATGTAGGCCTATGTATAAAACATTTTGAAGAACATTTTTAAAGACCAGATAACGCTTACTAAATGTTCTATTAATGTTACTGGGAGAATGTTTGTTCATTACTTTGAGAGAACCTTGCTATAATGTTAGCCAAAGTTCTGAGAACGTTCCCTGTTAGCTGGGTAGATATCTACCTCATTCATCTACTTCAGGTGTCTCAACACATCTGCCATTTTTGTAAACAGTCAACATTTCAGATGCTGTCCATTACTCACACTAACACTATAACCACTATTCTTTTTTATTTACCACATGCACAATTATCTAACATTAATGATAAACTAAATCCTGTGAAAATCATCTGCAAAAGACTTGGATATTCTTAGGTGTAAATAACAAGGTTGAAGATGCAGTCAACTAGCTCTTGAGAGCTCACAGGCTGGCTTTGACCTTTCCAATATGGCGGACGCCGGACAGCAATGCACCTTATGCAATATCAATATATATATATATATATGCGTTAACTGATATGACCAAAACGGGTCAATAAATTAATCAGAACGAATACTTCAGATCATCCAGATCAATGGATTCATGAATCATAAATTGCTAGTTCTCTTATTAACATCCAAAAAGGATTTGCATGAGACTTGATTTGTCTGAGACTTGAAATTTAGTTTTATGGACTGCATTTATGTTATTTTTAGGACTTTTGATAATTTTTTAAGCTTGAAAGTTTCAGTCCTTGTTCATTGTAATTGCACAGAAAAAGGACCACAGAAAGCAAGCAAAATGTTATCCTTTCGTGTTCCACAGAAGAAGAAGAAAAGAAATTCACACAGATTTGGAGCAACTTGTGAGTAAATTGAGTGAATGAATTTCTGTCTAAATTCTTAAAATGCTTTTGTGAAAGTTACAGTTCTACCAAGGAATCCGATTTTTTAAAAAGGTTTTAAGGTTTATCCAAGTGTTTTATTACATTTTTGAATTATTTGTCTGAGAATTTTATGCAAGTTCTTCCAGTTTATCTGTAATATTAGCAGCAATTCTTGAGTGATAATTCGTCTGTTTGTTAATGTCCTCGATCTTGGTAATGTCTCATTGATCATTTCTCCTCAGTCTTTAGAATGATCTCAAGGTTTTTCTATCAGTTTAGTATATTAGTATATCAGCAGCATATTAGCATTAAAAGGAGAATATATGTCCGTTAAACGAACCTTAGGCTAAACTCAGCTAAAGGCAAAATAGGTCACGGCTATATAAGGTGTCCCACAAAAAGCCATGAGTCAACAAGAGAAGATTTTTGCAATGAATCCGAGATAGAGTTTGCTTATGACAAATCAGAGTTGGGATAAACGAAAGAGCAGACATTTAATCCAATACACAGTCATGGATAACGTGCCCTTCTCTTTTTTTCTTTACATCCCTCCATCTCTTCCAATCATATCTTCATATCTTTTCAATTCAGTATATATTCATCAATTCATAAATGCAGTAAAACACATAATTTTTCATAAAATAACCGGCAAATCTAAACAGCCTCCCAAGAACAGAATTGAGAACACTGTATCATCTCTATAACTGAGTTCTCTTAGAGGCTTAATGAGTATTTATTAGCCAACATAAATATGTTTTTTCATTAAGGAAATATAACCAGAAACACCCAAGGCTTGTTGGTGTAAATGAGCATACAAGTGTTTCTATAAGGGCAGAAAGCAGATCTTCTGTAATGGAGCATCACAGCAGCTTGTGCCACACAAACAGATATGACAGCAGAGGTGTTTATAATTAGAGCTGCTGCAGAGACAAACCGCGACTATTTTGGCAAGGTGGTGGTGACGTTCAGGGTCCTGGGATCCGCTGACAGGTACAGTAATGTGCCCAACACTCAGTACTCTCAGTCGACACTGCAGATTTCATGAGCTCAATCAGCACTCAAGCTCAACTCAAGTTAGTATAACTTACAACAGTGCTGACTACTGTGTATTCAGGAGCAAAGTGTTGCAAAGCCACATACAAAAAGCTCATTCCCACAATGCACCATGAAAACCATGGGAGCATCGATGCTCACTATGTTCCCTAGTATGTTCCAATAAGTTCTGAAGCGCAAAACATAAATCACGTGAGCCAACTCAACTCAAGGGGATAGTCTGTTCTTGCCTTTCTCCCAAAAACACAATGTCCATCAGAAATCCATTAGCATTAAGACTGAGACTTAGACTTACAATTAGTTCCCACTAATCCCACACAACAAACACAATACATCAATGTCTGTTGTCTCTTGAGGATTGCACTGAGACCTGCACAAAAAGTTCTTAATAACAACAGACCACTGTTGACTCCAGGAGATGACAGCACGACTAAATGATGCGGTAACCTTTTGACCACATGAGGTGGGTTCTCCCTGCTGAGAAGATGCTAATGTTTTCTAGTCTGTTGGCATTGTCCACATCACAATTGGTATGTTTATATGAAAGGTTGGTTTGAAATTGAAGTGAAGTTTGTAGATTTTCTTTATATTGTTTGTGTTATTTTAGCATTATTTAAACACTATTATAGCCTAGTATTTATTAATATTTAAAAATAATTAGCTTTTTTCATTTTTCATTTTAATTGTAGTTTAAGTAGTTAGCAATTGTAGTTATTTTGTTGTTGTTGTTGTTGTTGTTTTATTAACTCTTTCCTTTACATTGACGGAAATTTCCGGCTTTCCGCGTTTTCACTGTTATACGGTAGGGGGTGCTATTACGCAATTGCTGAAAGAGTACTGAATCACCTGATCAGAACATAGGAGAAGAAGAAGCAGAAACATTAGGGGTGTTGATGGACTCAATCTACACCATCTATGATTTGATCATCACTATCGGACGAAGTCTATGACAAAAATGTGATTTTCTCAGCTTTTTGCTCAAAATGTTGCTTTTTTATGAAACCTACCCACATTCAAGTGTTTATAAAAAAAGAATGAATGAAGTTAGAATAAAAGTTTTTTTTTTTTTTTTTTTTAAGTAGAGGGTTTCTTTTGTTATATTGCACGTTCAGATATTCATATAACAAAATATTCTGGGGGCCATGACAAATTTGTGCAAATGGTCAAAAACGCTGGCGGTGGCTGGCAACTTAAAAAAAGAAAGAAAAGGAACCGCTGGCGGGGAAAAAGGTTAAATTATTTCTGTTTAGCTTTTTTTCCAGTTTTAGTCATTTAGTTATCTTAAACTTGTTTTATTTTAGTTAGTTTCCAAGGCAACATTTATTGTCATATAAGCAATTCATTTAACAGTTTAGTAATAGTTAAAGTTAACAATAACAACACTGTTGTCAATAGCTGGCTAATCTCTGTCTTCTTTTGCAATCTAATACAGTGTTACCCATGATCTGTCATTCAGGCCCAATGCATGCAGTACTATTATTAATCAGCAGTGGCCAGCAGCTGACAATTTGGTGATGTATACCATGCATAATAGACACCGCTGCTGTGACACTGTAAGAACATGTGACTCATTGCATGTATCTGATCTTTGAACCAATGAGACAGCATGAAAATATCAGCACTGATGCTTCAAAATGCTACAAATGCTATCTTGCATTATATATAATTTTTTTGCATTCGTTTTAGTGTCTGCATATGGGCGTGTCGACGAAACCAAAGTGAAAATGTACTGAGATGAAACCAGAAAAGCAAATCCCTTTGAAAAATGACCCATCTGAGCTCATGCTCAGGGTGCAAATTTACTGTGTGGTGCATCAGCAATTTTCTGATCATAGATGCCATAGTCCAGATTGTTCTATTGGCTGGTGTAACAGGCCCCACATTCCCCAGGCTCTGCTGGAGTACTTTTCCTTCTGATCCAGTGTAAAGCCTCTAACAAGGCCACAGAAAAATCTATATCGTTAATTAATTGAGGTTTTATTTGTCCTCTATCAAGGTTGAACAATCAAAAAGTATGGCCACTAATAAAGGCTAGAAGCATCAGAGCAATTATTGTTTCAAGTATCCAGATTAAAATCAACACATCAGTGCAAACTAAATTTTTTGGGCCAAATTCAAAGTGCCATGCAGCTCTGTTTACTGTAAATTTCCATGAACTATAATATAAGCAGAACTATAAAGTGCAGGATATAAAATACTACATGCTATAAATAGCTGCACAGTAAATCCTGTTGAGAAAGTTTCCTGCCACATTGAATCAGCAGTTTACTGGTCCATCTATCTATCCATCCACCGATCAGCTATATCTTTAAGATGTACTAAACAAAAGCTAAATTAAGAATTCATACAACAAAGGGTTTTAACCAGTGTTATTTTAGCATACTATACTATACTATTATAGTTTTTATGGTAAAAAATTTTACAATAAGGTCTCATTCGATAACATTAGTTAATAAACTAACATGAACTAACAATGAGCAATATATTTGATCCAGTATTTATTAGTCTTTGTTAACGTTAGTTAATAAAAATACAGTTGTTCATTGTTAGTTCATGTTAGTTCACAGTGCATTAACTAATGTTAACAAATTCAACTTTTGATTTTAATAATATATTATTAAATGCTGAAATTAACATTAACTAAGATTAATAAATGCTGTAGAAGCATGACAAAAGTTGACAAATCCTATGATTTTCTTCGTCTAAACTGGTCCTCTCACAGAAGACTTTAGTCATTAGCATGGATCCAGCTGCTCCCAATAACTTCCCCTCCCCTTTGGCCGATTCCGAGTCAAACCCACCTCAAGGGCCAGCTCCTCAATCTGAAACTGTTTCTGGGCGACTCTGCTGGATCCTACGTGCTCATGGTAGTACACCACCATCACGTCATATTTCTTCATCACAGACTTGAAATTCTTGGCATTAAGCTCGTGAACGCGGTCCTTTCCATCGTACTCAGGGATGTCCATACCTTTCTGGCCCCATGACAGCTGCCCGAAGGTCAGAAGGAGCCCAAGGAACACTAGGTTCCACTTCATGATTCAATACTTAAGTAGGGGAAACTTGAATTCCACTGAATTTAAAACAAATCAACTAAATACTTCATAAAATTAAATTAAAAAGGACCTGTGATCCCCGCCACCCAGAACAGACAAGACCAAGTCCTGAGGCCCCTTGTATGAAACCCCTACACACGGGTAAAAGAGACGAGTAACAGGGTCGAGAGCATTTTAGGGGGTGGGATGATGTGAGTGCGAGAGAGAGAGAGAGAGAGAGAGAGAGAGAGAGAGAGAGAGAGAGAGAGAGAGAGAGAGAGAGAGAGAGAGAGAGAGAGAGAGAGAGAGAGAGAGAGAGAGAGAGAGAGAGAGAAGAGAGAGAGAGAGATTGATATGAGAGAGAGGGGCTGCATGCTAAAAAAGAGAGAGGCACATTTTTTCATGCAGTGAGCCAGACTGGAGATCACAGCAAGGCAAAGTAGAGTTAGATACCATACGACCTCTTAAGTATGACCATAAAATATTAATAGGAGACAGAAAGTTTGTGTACATGGGACAACAAAAACTGAAGTGTGAAGGAAGGGATCATAAGGCACACATGAAGGCTTTATCTGCCATATTAAGCTATACAGAGCTTAGATCTTGGCTAAAAATACAAGATGTAGCATGGAGACGAAGTGCAGCGTGGGTAGGGGGTGGGGGTGTCTTGTTTGCCGCACTTGGCTCATCCGTGGTGCTAGAATGTGGCACTAGGTCACTTCAGGACGAGATGGAGAGACAAGGCTGGTGCACCTCCTTGGGTTTCACAGATGTCAGTTTACTTTTCGGGCTATCAATTCTGGCTTGCACTTCTCTCTGACCCATAATGGTGCGTACGATATACGGCCCGACTGCATTCATGCTCAGTGTGTTTATCAGCACTGAGAATTTTTTTTATGGCCTACGTGCCTAAACTCTGTGAGGGACACTAGTAAGAGTATGTGCAAGATTAAATGTGTGCTCATGGTAGCTAAATAGCTCAAGATTACTTTACAAATTGAAAGACGAGAGGTGAGTTATTAATAAAAATCATGTAACATGATCTTACATGTTCTCTTCCCTTCAGCCTCTTTATTTAGTGGCCTGTGGAGTTAATGCCTATTTAGTCGTCAGCTGGTGGTTAATGATGAAGCAAAGCAGTGTGTTTGAGAGAGATGATGCGATGAAAAGGGGGGGGGGGCGTAAGTAAAAGGAGAGTGCTTGGATGTCACTGCATATCCTGCGGTGTTGACTGTGTCAAAAGCATCAGCACATTTAGCATAGGCTAATCCTTCATTAAATGGGGATGCCGTTTGATTGATTTGACATCAGAACACTTAGAGTCCATATGAAATCCTGTTCGCAACTTATTACGTCTTTGATGTGATGCATTTCCAAATAATATTCACTGAGAAAAAACGCAGGGTGGGAATTTTATCCATCATAAATTCAGTTGACTTTGAAATATATATATATATAAAATATAACAAGAGACAATCCATCTTAACCTAAAACCACTAATTATATAAAGTACTCAACTTTTTACATGTAAGATGCATCACTTTGGATGGTAAATGGACGAATAATAAACAAGTAAACTATAAACTAGAGAAATGTTATTATGTCACAGTGATAACATTTAGATCTTGTTTTTTGATCACCTGGCTTAAAATGGTTACTAAACTAATATTTATCAATATTTTTCATTATGGCACCATCTAGTGGTAAAAAATTATATGATACAGATTAAAGACAAGAATGTTGATACATGTATGCACAGAGAGCTCTTATTCATAATGTAATTAATATTCTTTAGTATTTTACATGTGTATTGATATGATGGCTCTCTGTCATTTATTACTTGGTTTTGACATAACTTGATTAATTAACCACCAGAATGCATACAAATATTTTAACAAGTTCCATAAAGCCTAGCATCAAACAGACAAAATCAAGCTAACTGTTTTTGATCTTCCTTTTGAACTTGAAGTTAACTAACAGTCCTTAATTAATGTTCAACAAAATATCTGCCAAGAGTAGTCTGCAAATCACAGAATTTATTGGTGCATATTTGCCATGAAATAAGGATGGAAAATCAGGGTGTGTGATTTTTTTTAAACTGACTGTCAGATCTCCTACATGCTGCTTGTACAACGTCAACAGATGACAACAAGCATAAACGGAACAAAATAATTTAAAACAAGAGCCAGAGAAAATACGTTACATTGTATCGACATTTTAATATAGAATCAACACAGAAACAAAATATCTGTGAAATGAGATACTAGTAACACTTTCGAGTCGACGACATTCCGTATCATGACAAATTGCGTCTCAACTGAAAAAAAATGCTGCGCTGCCAAAACGCTCTCAAGCGGTTTTTTTTTCAGCTGGCAAAAAAAAACGCTTTAGTGGACAGTGGACACACTCACGGCCTAACCTTTGTCTAACAAAACTACCATTATTTGAAATGACACTCAATGCTTTACAATAAACTCTGAGGAGATACATATCCAATCGCTTTTTATCTGTTTTCAATACCTTAATTACTCACCTGTTAATGTCATCTCTGCTTCGCTTTTACAACATTTCAAATCCCTCAGTTCTCCGAAAAGCCAATAGCCAAGCCAATGTTGATTTTCGTTTTATTATGAGCTCTGTGAGTCTTTTCGCCAGCAGACTCTCCTCTGTTTGGCGTTTTTTTTATTTTTTTTATTAAATAATAGTTAATTCCACGAGGTTCAAGATTTCGTCCTACATGTTAAACCTTTCTCACTCGTTGAGACAACTATGCCACTCTCTACCACCATACAGCCGTCAAAGTAGCCGGAGCAACGTTTCTATAAGACGAAGCACGCTGCATTATGTAGCTAGCCTATGCGATATCCCGCGAAATCCATCCGGACATGTCTCAAATTTAAACACTTACCATAGTAAATCAGGGTACATATTTTGGAAGAAGATAACTGATGTATTGACTCATTATTTAAATTGTGTTAATTTTGAATAAAAAAAAACGAGTGAGTAGTCGATTGTCATATTGAGGAGTCACGTGCCGATTTGGGCGGGGTCTGAGCCGGTGTTCTGTCGATCTGTCCTACCTTGTCAGTTTTTCCTACCGTAGCGCAAAATTATAGCCATATCTATCGGTTCATCCTACCACATCGTAAAATCCTACTGCGCGTTTCTGCTTCGCGTCTGTGACTACATAAAATATTTCAGTGTAACTTTGCCGAATATTCTTATTAGGCCATGGTACGGTGATTTTACAGTGCAAAGTAACGTTACCTCATCAGATTGTCCTATGAAATAAACGGCTAGGATGATTTTACAGTGCAAAATACCTAATCAGATTGTCCTACCAGTATGAAATAAACGGGTAGGATGATTTTACAGTGCAAAATACCTCATCAGATTGTCCTACCAGTATGAAATAAACGGGTAGGATGATTTTACAGTGCAAAATACCTCATCAGATTGTCCTACCAGTATGAAATAAACGGGTAGGATGATTTTACAGTGCAAAATACCTCATCAGATTGTCTTACCAGTATGAAATAAACGGGAAGGATGATTTTACAGTGCAAAATACCTCATCAGATTGTCCTACCAGTATGAAATAAACGGGAAGGATGATTTTACAGTGCAAAATACCTCATCAGATTGTCCTACCAGTATGAAATAAACGGGAAGGATGATTTTACAGTGCAAAATACCTCATCAGATTGTCCTACCAGTATGAAATAAACGGGAAGGATGATTTTACAGTGCAAAATACCTCATCAGATTGTCTTACCAGTATGAAATAAATGGGAAGGATGATTTTACAGTGCAAAATACCTCATCAGATTGTCCTACCAGTATGAAATAAACGGGAAGGATGATTTTACAGTGCAAAATACCTCATCAGATTGTCCTACCAGTATGAAATAAACGGGAAGGATGATTTTACAGTGCAAAATACCTCATCAGATTGTCTTACCAGTATGAAATAAACGGGAAGGATGATTTTACAGTGCAAAATACCTCATCAGATTGTCCTACCAGTATGAAATAAACGGGTAGGATGATTTTACAGTGCAAAATACCTCATCAGATTGTCTTACCAGTATGAAATAAACGGGAAGGATGATTTTACAGTGCAAAATACCTCATCAGATTGTCCTACCAGTATGAAATAAACGGGTAGGATGATTTTACAGTGCAAAATACCTCATCAGATTGTCCTACCAGTATGAAATAAACGGGAAGGATGATTTTACAGTGCAAAATACCTCATCAGATTGTCCTACCAGTATGAAATAAACGGGAAGGATGATTTTACAGTGCAAAATACCTCATCAGATTGTCTTACCAGTATGAAATAAACGGGAAGGATGATTTTACAGTGCAAAATACCTCATCAGATTGTCCTACCAGTATGAAATAAACGGGAAGGATGATTTTACAGTGCAAAATACCTCATCAGATTGTCCTACCAGTATGAAATAAACGGGTAGGATGATTTTACAGTGCAAAATACCTCATCAGATTGTCCAGTATGAAATAAACGGCTAGGATGATTTTACAGTGCAAAATACCTCATCAGATTGTCCTACCAGTATGAAATAAACGGGAAGGATGATTTTACAGTGCAAAATACCTCATCAGATTGTCCTGGAAAAATAAACAGATAGGATGATTGATTTGACAGTCTAAGTTTTTAATCTGTATAGTCCCTGGACAGATGTTACAAATTTACTCTAAACCAGATGATAATGTAAATTGAAATAAGATTAGTTATTGAGATAATTTATAATCAAGCAGATAGAATATATATACAGAAAGGAGATTATTAATCAAATTCATTTCAAAATTCAAAATCATGCAACACAGAGGCACAATACAAAACAAGTAAAACAATAAGTTATTAATATAAATATGAACTAAGACCACACTGTGCTGCAGACTGTTATCAATGCAAATGATAAAGGGACATACACTCAAACTATACTACACACTTTTTGCACATAAACACATTTAGGCTACTGAAGTTGCAACATTTAAAATGTGCCCATCTATTGCAGCTCTCACACTGTACCTGAAAATAAAAGAGATGAATATATATGTAAATTAGTACATTTAAAACAATATAGAATCTGAAAACATGAAAAGAAAAATTACCTTTTCATTTAAATAACAAAATTCTACAAAAAAACATGGCACATAAAGTTAAACTATTGCTTTTTGGGTGTGTGCATTATTAGTTGTACCATTTCAATCATGCTTTCGTTGGGGTCGTCTTCCAGCATGCTGCAAAGCACACAGTACTCCTCTGCATTACCTATACATTTGTTAACATTAAAAAAAGATAAATATGAATTCATTGGACAATCATATCATAGTGTACTAAATGTCAACATAAACGCCATGAAAAAAAATTCTCAGACCTGTTCTGAAATTACATTAAATCAAATCATTCTTGCATTACTTTTTGCATCCTTCAAGTTATTTTCTACTCTGAAAAATGTATTTAATCAAGTAAGAATATCCAAATATACAGAGGGGATAGAGAAGAAAATTATAGAGTGAAGATAGCATCTACAGAGGTGTACTACATGACACACTGTACATTACAATACATACACTACTACGGTATTACAGAATTAAAACAGCACTCACCTCGACATCCAAGAAGTGTGCAGGCTACTTTCATGCGTGCTGAGCTGACCGCTTCAGGCGTAGTCTGAACATTGCTGATCGTTCCTGTCAGCAGGTATTGTTCAGCAAACTGAAACATTAATTGACAGATGACTTAATTAAATTCATTATAACATATCCAGACCTGAAGCCACTCTTGAAAATATATGAACACATACATTCAATACCAATACTCCACAACTGCTGGAATCCATCTGCAGGTCGTGCTTCAGGGTCCGTAATTGCCACTGGGCTGTTTGCTCATCACATCTCAGTTTTAAAAAATTCCTAGATGTCGTCAAAACATTTGTACTGTTTAGAATCGAATAGCATAAAAAAAAATAAAAAAGATGAAACAGTTCTAAAAAGGTTACCTCCAGTTCCGCAGAATCTTATGTTCATAAGAACGTTCATTTCCCATTGGGTCAATCACAAGGAGTGTTTTTTCAGGCATGTTGATAATCTGGAATATAATGTCATGTAATCATAAATAAGGTTTTAAAATATTTTTAGATCACTACTAACAACTACAGGAAGCTGCTTAAATAAACCTTTAAATTATTGACCTAAAGCATTAAAGAATGTCTGCAGATTATGGAGAAAGTGTCAACACAGTGATTTAGTTATTTGCAGGTGAATATAACACATAAGAATATAAGTGAATGGTAGCAATATTCTGAGGGAAAATTCCAAACGGAAGTGAGCATCCCTATGCCCTACTCCCTTCGAAGGGCAGAGCCCTTGAAGTGGGGACTTTGGAGTGAGCAGGGCACTTGCGTGACATTATGTAGCCGTTTGGAACGCACTTGGTGAAGAGAGCGATGAAAGACAATGTAATTTCCTCATTATCTTCACATGGGAATGTTCCCACTCTAAAAAAAATATATATATATATATAAGAGCCTTTGTTATCTTTATCTCCTGTCTATATATATATATATAGACAGGAGATAAAGATAACAAAGGCTCTTTGCCTTCGTCATATATAGCCTATTTGTGTGTACTTCTCTGCTCACAACTTTAAAACTTGCAGTGTGTCATCTTTGACCCTGCATTACCTAACACATTTCTTACCTATGAAACTTATTTAAACATAACATGACAAACATTTGTGAAATATCACGAACATGAACAAAACAAAACAACTTGAATTGCTCTGTTGGTTAGTTAACTCGAACTATCCCACCAGTATTCTGTTTGACAATAGCCCAAGATCACTAAAGAAGAAGAAGAAGAAGAAAAAAAAACATTTTCTATAATCTCACTTGCAATGTACTTTGAAAAATACACACGCACCACAAGAATCCAATGTGCTCCAACGTTCACAGGGCACAGCCAAATGTCCTCAATGGGAAACTTCATCTATGAAAAGTATTTAATAACAAGTTTGTGGTGGTTCCAAAACACGTAAATATTATGTACTTTATTACTTTCCGGAAAGCTAAATTACCTTTCCTAGGCATCTGAACTGTCCAGCAAACAACGAACGTGCAACAACTGCACAAAGCTGGTGTATGTGGTTCTGAAAAAAAAATAAAAATTTTAAGTATATACAATTAAATGAGTGTTCCTAAATAAGTAGACATTCTATACATACCTGTTGTTTTTCAACGACCAGGTGCAGGTATGCATCAATAACCTAAATTAAGAAAAATAAACATGAATATAAACAAACTAAACTTTATTTTTGTGAGAAAATAATAAGTATTTTGGGTTTATAAGTCATTTAGACAACCGCCCGATTGGAAAGAAAGGCCACCCATAGCATAAGAATAAATAACTTACTTCATCAGCAAGCCACTCGGCCCCTTGCAGTGAGTGAAAAGAAGAGTCATAGAGCTTATATGGCCCAACAACTGCTTCAACCTGACCAGTGACATTTGCAGCCCAGACCTTCATTACTGAAAAAGAAAGACAAAGTTAGTGTTGTCAATAATTTTTCTAATTAATCAACTTTACAGGGCCAACGAGCCAACATAAAATGAACTTGGCAAATTGAACGTGCCAAACATTCAAGGCCGTAGGTTTAGTCTTTAAGTTGGAAGAGACAACAATCCACCCCCTACCCCACATCGGTAGTAATATGTAAAATAATGTGATTGAGTTCGCTGAAGTATTAGGAAGGACAATTCTGCCCTCCTAAAATGTATGCAAACCTACGCCCTTGCAAACAGTCATCATGTCAAAAGGGTACAGGACAGCTAGAGGAAGTGGATATAACTCAAAACAATTTATGGTATCTCTATTAAATAAGAAAATTTTAATATTTTGGTGGCCGCAGTTGTGAAGGTTTTTCAGTGAGCTTTGATTTCAAAATACTGTTTGACTTCGTTCATGCATTTTGAATTTTTTAGGCATATTTTTTTTATGGGGGGGGGGGGGGGGGGGGTCATTTAAAAATACTAGGTAGGTAGGATGAACCGTATTTTTTATGATTTATTGGTTATTATGTCCACTTCCTATAAATAACGGTGACCTGTGACCAACAGGTCAAAATGGCCACCATGATTTAAACACTGCAAGCAAGCAACCATAACAAGAAGACCAAACTGGTCAGTTAGGCCAAACTGGCAACTAAGGATGAACTGAGATCTCTGTAAATATAAAACCTTGTTCCTCTGAGATTTGGTTTACATCTGATGGGAACTTTATTGCTGGCTCTTCATCTGTTGGGGTTAATTTTAGCTCCTTGATGTACCCATTTGTTTGGTCAAGCATTTTAGGAGCAACTTGAATAACAGAAGGTCTTTGTAACGCTGAATCTTGGAGCTTCTCAGAATCATTTACCTTGGTCACAGAATGCGGAGTGCTGAGTGGTGCAACAGTGCAAGGAGGCATCTTGCAAGAACTGTTACTCTCTGTAGACCCACTGATTGAGATAACAGAACAGTCATCAGGCACTTTTCCAGTTTGGCTTCTTCTGTATGGTTTAATGTGACCAATGCTATATTTAGTTTTTAAAGTAATCCCTCCAGGTTTGTTTAATGTGACAAGTTTGCCACTGAGTCTCTCAATGATGTAGGGTCCTGAGAAGTCAGGTTCAATCCTTCCTCCTTTTCTTCCACGCTTCCTCATATTCATCAGAAGAACCTCATCACCAACATGGTAAATCAAGTCTTTGTACTTCTTCTGGACCTTTTTAGCATATGCTTCCTTCTGTTTCTCCTGTGATTTACCAATGTTTTCTTCTGCCTGTTTTTTGGCCTCATCTCTCTTTTTTTTATCGGAAACTACATAATCACTAAAACTTGATTCCACAGGGAGACTGATGGTGGAAAGCTAAAAAACAAGGCAATATAATTTAAGCAATATAAATTCATTTGTGAACTATTTAAATTTTCACATGTGCATGTATATTATGAAAAGCCCATGGTAGCATGAGAAGAGGCCCTTTGCTAAAAACATGGTTGTTCACTATTCATAACAAACTGTTAGGAATATTAGTGACCCTTATTGTCTGTTGTGGAACAAAGTCCAAAAAATATTATCATTACTAGTTTAAGATCAAAGGTTTTATAACAGATGTTAAAATTTAATACAGTTAATCAAGTCAGGGTACCAATAATAAAAACTATATTTACTGTATGATTAGTTTTGTAAAAAGAAAAAAAGTTTTGCATCTTCTACTACAGTACCCATTGGAAATTATTTCAAGGCTAAATTTACTTTAAGCACAATTCTTCTGACATAGGCTAGTATGACAAAATTGCTGAAATGACTCCATAAGCACACTCACTGGCATTTCAACAGGAATCTCTGCAGGGAACACTGCCTCTCTCCCATACATTAAAAGAAAAGGGGAGTGTTTTGTGGTGGTGTGGACCTTTGATCTTAAAGAAAACAAGGTGGCATCCAGATAGACATCCCAGTCATTCTGCTGGTCGTTAACCAATTTCTTGAGGGCTCTAAAGTGACACATAAGGGGGAAAGTTTTTTGTTTTTTAGAAGGCTTATAAACTTGGAGTATGAAAGCCTTTTTAGGAATACATTTATAACTTATTTGGTGCCTTGAAGCGGAAGATGGGTCAAAATGTCATGGGGGGCGGGGGTGCCTTAACTTTTCCTGACCTAGGTACATACAATAATAAAACTTACCGTTTAATGTTGTCGTTGGTCTTTTCATCCAGGCCATTAGTTTGAGGATGATAAGCTGCTGTCACACTTCTTTTGATGCACAACATTTCACAAAGCCTGTGGTTAAGCTTAAAAAATAAAGGGGAAAAAAATCACTGTGAATAAATGGGTGAAAAGCTCCTTAAAACATACAGTAGTTGAATATATGTACTGTATGTGCAAAAATATAACAACTCTTGAAAATCTGAAAACAAAGACAATGGGTTTCATTCATGAAACATTCGTAAATATACGAGTAAATATGAGAGTGATTTGCACGTAAAGAGACCTTCCCGAAAACTCATCTCCTGATTCACAAATACTTCGTAAACGTCAGATGTGATAGTGAAATCTGTGTGTGTTAATGAATTCCAATCAGTCGTAAATGGGACGCGCGTGCACGTTCATTCTCAATTACCATAAATCCCGCCCATTAAATCCGACTGACAACTATATATGGGCATCATATGACACCAAACGAAGGATTTCAACATGTCTTCTCAAAAGCGAATGAAAAAGAAAAATTTCTCAGATGCAGAAATCGAAGTTTTATTATCAGAAGTTCATTCAAAACACCACATTTTATTTTCAAGCGTAGGCTACATAGTGGCGTATCGGGTCCTAAAGAAAAGCAAGCTTGGCTGCATATTACAGATGCAGTTACTGGAGTTTCATCTGTTAATCAAACAGTCTCAGAAGTAAAAAGAAAAACCGTATAGTAATTACTATATATAATATTTTTTCAAAATGCTGTGTAAATATGTACCCGATTAAGGTGAATTAAAATGCAGCCTTAGTTATTAATGAGCAAAATGTTCGGATGTTAAACGCACTATTTACGCGTGGCTGGGAGCAGGTGTAGATTTCTTTTGTACCAACTAACATTTGGAAAATACGAACATTTTAATGAATCCGAAAATTTACGCCAGAACCACTGTACACACGATTTACACAAAAATTCGTTCTGCTCGTGTTTCATGAATGAGACCCATTGAGGCTAAACCTAAATCACTTTAATACTGATCATTTTAAATACACTTACATCATTTACAAATTCCCTTCCCTGATCTGAGAGAATTCTCTGGGGACAACCATGCCTATAAATGATGGAACAGAGATGTCTTCCAACTTCAGCTGCTGTCTTGGTTTTTAAAGGAAAAGCCTCAACCCACTTAGAGAAGTAGTCTGTGGCTGTGAGGATGTATTTAAAGCCATCTGCAGTTTCAGGTAATGGTCCAGTTAAATCAATGCCAACAAGCTCCCAAACAGCAGAAACCTATCAAGTCCACCAAATGTAAAGTAAGTTTAGTGTGTATAAAGTAGGTTTAGTATATGTATACTGTATGTTACTGCACTTATTTACCTTGATGCACTGTAAGGTCTGCACAGCAGTCAAAGGCTTTCCAACTTTTTGACATTGATCACATTCCAATACCTTTCAGAAATTGTTGTATATATATATATATACATATTTGTGAGTTGATATATATATCTATAAATATAAACTAAAATAACTATATAGAATAAATAACACATACCCAATTTTCAATGTCAACTGACATGCCATGCCAGTAAAATCTGGCACAGATGGCAGCACGTGTTTTACCAATCCCCGTGTGTCCACCAATGGGCGAGGAATGGAATTCTTCAAAGAGCATCCTGGCTTCCTCTTTGGTTTTTATCACTCTTTTGCTTCCATAAAAAAGCTCTCCATCTACATCAGTGGTCTCAAACTCGCGGCCCGCGGGCCATTTGCGGCCCGCAGGGTGATATTTTGTGGCCCCCTACTTGACATTAAAGTTTAATGTTAGTGCGGCCCGTCGTTGCGTGTGCCGCGTTTTAAAAAAAAAATATATTTTTTTTATCCCTTAAAGGGCTACCATAGATAGTCTCGTGACACGGTGGGTTTGTTGTCAATAGTTGTCATAGACAACCGCGAAGTACAAACATATTGCGCCTGGAAAAAATGAGCGCGTCGCTTAAATTATGAGCGCGCTTGCCGCGCGCCTACATTTGAAATAACGAACTTGAGCGCGCAAAATATGTGAGCGCGATATGTGAACAGGCCCCTTGGTGAGCTACCACCAATCAGACCACGAGCTACTGGCAGCTCGCGAGCGACGTGTTGGAGAGAGACCCTGCCCTAAAACAATGTGAGAATAATCATTTTGAGCTTGTAATATGTGTCCAACAGGTTCATAAGAAGGTTTGCTTTGATTTGTGCAGTCAGTAATTTGAGACACTATACATGTGAAAGAATTCAATAAGACGGGCAGACATGACTGCAAATATTTGTATTTCAAAAGCAATAATTGTTTTTCTAAGTATAATAAAAGGAAATGTGCCTTCAAAAAAACAAAAAAACATTCAATATCATTAATGTGTTGTATAAAGAAAATAAAAAGGACATAAGCAAATATAAATATCACAAATATGTGTTATAGACAAAGAAAGTTTGTAAAATGAACTTCAACTGTCAGAAGGACAGCTCATAAAGAACCAATCATGTACAGAAAGGAATGTTCAAATTCAGAGGAACAGTTCAGAAGAAACGTTAATAATAAATATTGAGAAGATTGGATCAGTTGTGCTCCTTTTTTGGAATACTTGAATACTATTTTTTTGTGGAATACTTGATGCGGCCCAGCCTGACCCCGACTCTACCTCCAGCGGCCCCCAGTTAAGTTGAGTTTGAGACCCCTGATCTACATTAAAGAGAAAACATGACTATGACAGAAGCAAAAGGACATTTGGCATTGTTGGAAAAGAAAATCAAGATGGGAACAAATGAATAATAAAATAAACATAATTGAAATGTAAAGTTAAAATAAATACCCTTTAGGTTGAATTTAAGTGCATATCTTCTAATGTTCTGCCTTTTGGACTTATCATACCCTGATGGGTACGATCCCACTGACAGAAGATTATACAGTGCTTCCCACTTATCTTCCATAGCTGTCAAAAAATGCAAGAAAAAAAAACTAGATTAATCAAAAATTTTTATGTGATTAATTGTAATTACAAACATTATATATACATTTATTATATTTTATAATGTAATAATTTCACAGTTGATCTCCAAATTGATGCAAAAACAATATAGAGTATATATTTTAAATATTTGTTTAATGGCGTATTTTTATGAATGAAAACAGCTGTCACTTTAAGACCTGCCGCTGCTGAGAGAGATGCGATCTCACACGCCTCACACTCTTTATGATCATTTGATACTTTATTTAATTAATTTAAGACTGATCTTATGAGGACACTCGACAAAACGGACATTTTGACATAATTGTGTGTGTTTATATTTTACACCAAACAATCAAATCATATGCCCCGCCCATATCTAGCCTAATGTTTTCATGAAAAATGCTAATATGATCAATGGTGCTAGCTGGCTTTGTATGAATGTGCCCGTAAACAGTTCTCATTACTGCTATATATCTTTGTATAATAAAAATTAACATAAATAGAGAAAAACTTACCTCAGATGAAGAAGTTCTCACGCAAGTAGTAAAATATTATGGGCGTATTGTTCAGCGTGACAAAAATGACGCAAAATTGATGTGCGCATGCGCAGTAAGCCTTGGTAGGACAATCTGACGGGTAGGATGGAATGTCAGGACACCTGTCGGCCATGATGGTAGGAGACGCTATCGGTTGCCAGGGGCAACGCCTTCAGAACTTCACAGTGGCGCGACTAAACATTCCAGAAATAGCGAAAGAGAGACAGCGCAGCTTAGTCTTTGTTTACATTTTACCGATTCAAGACAATAAATCTGTAAGCAGCTAAGCACATATCACAATGCTTCTCTTTTCAAATACAAACAATACTTTATTGATTATAAGCCTATGACTAACACACATAAAACTAATATAACACAAACACACGCACACGCATTCATACAAGTTGAAGAAAGACAGAGAGTGAGGAAGAATGAGTTTTAGGAGTTAGATGGTGAGATCCCAAGTTTCTATATGCACTTAAAAGACATGACCTGAACGAACCATCAATAATTAATTTCACCCTTGTATCGTTTCTTAGGCGGGTAATTCAATTTGATATTAAAATGCACCTGCAGTTTCAGGTAAAAGTCTGGAGGTACTTGCTTGTCCTTGCTTTGCTTTTGGGGATTCCCTTTTGTCGGTGTGAAGGTGTTCCCCGGGTCCGTTGTTTGGCTGGCGGTCTCCTCGTGCTTGATAGATCTTGGGCAGCCAGTCACGTGGTGTGTTGGCGCGGATGAATGAAAGTCTTCGAAGTTGGAAGCTGGTTTTGCAGTTGAAACGTTAAAACGAAACTTTGCAGCAAACTTAACTTAGAACCGAGACTTTTAATGGAAAAGAAAACAAACTAAGAGAAGAAAGAAAAGTGTGACGAGATGGCTTGAATTAAATCTGTTTTAACCCATATCTTGATTTGGGTCATTTGTCTCTGCGTCTACATGGTTACTATAACCATCGTCGGCTCCACCCGGCTTGTTCTGCCGAAAGAGAGCATCACAAGAGAGCAGAGGGCAAGAGAGCATCACAAGAGCGCATCACAAGAGAGAGAGTCTGTGTCCGGGTCTAAGATTTTAAACTCAAAATGTTTGTCCCGCCTCCTGGAGGAATTTGGAATTCGGACAATAAGATACTATATGGTTATTTGAGAAGGGGGTCTTTTCTATCCCCCCCCTTCTCTCATCACAAATCATGTGTTGTCTGTGGTCTACTTACTCATCAGCTTGAACAGAGGATTCAGTTTAGACATAATTTCCATTTTAAGAACATAAACATTTTTACACGGATTTCAATCAAGCCACCTTCTGAATTAATAATATATGAGCATAATGATAGGAAACACAACACTTTCATTCCAGTATCTCTAATATTTAAAACAATTACATGACTTAGATGTGATCTAAGCAGAATAGACACATACAGGGGTTGTAAACACAATATACAATTATGTTATGTTACATAATTTTGATTATGGGTCAGTCAAGAATTGTTCCGGGATGAGTTTTATGGAGTTTGATATGGAGGAAAGTCCTTATGTGTGTGTGTAAAGTTTCTGGGGTTTAAGAAAGACATTCCAGTCTGAGGTAATGATAGTTCCTGCTGAAGTCTGTTCTTGTTCAACATATCATGAGACCTTGGTTCTTAAAGAAAGCTAGTCTGTTTAGTCGCAGGGGTCAGGTGACTTCTTGTTAGGGCCTCTTGTTTCACCATTTCTGAACAGATCTGTTCTTGCCGAATTATAAAACATTGACAACGTTCTCCCTTTAGTTAAACAACAAAAGGGTCTCTTGGCTCCAGTACCTGGGGATAATCTGGAATATGCAGCATCTTGTGTTTGGTTATGTCTGAAAGCTTCAATTGTGTGGGTTGCATTCTCGTTGTCGCTACAGCAGCAACAGCGAGCAAAGCCTGCTTTCAAAAGCAACACATTTCAGCACAGTTCGCCTTTTATTTAACACAAACGAACGAAATTAATACTCTGTTATTCAACTAGAGTTGTTTCATTTGTTATAGATATATCTGTACCGCGAAATGTTTTTAAAAAAGACACTTGTTTTAATGACGTACGATTCGCATTGACAGGGGAATGTCCGATCTGTTCGCTTAACGTTGCACGGCAGGTGCAAATGCGCGTATCTGATTCATATCAGATTTATTTCTACATATGAATGAGGCCTGAATGAAACATCAAGTATGACTGAACTCTCGCAGTTTAACGTTACAGGTTTCTAAGTCTTGCACCCAGCCGCAACAGACTTGTTCAGCTTCTGACTTAAAGCTTCTGAACTCTTGCATTGTGTAGGCAGTAACGTTAGTCACTGATACCATAAACAAACCAGGTAATTAACTATGTCAGCGTATGTGAAAGGTCAGGTGGTAGTGCTTTGGGTCTTTCGTCCATTCTGTAGCAGGTCGTACGGGTCCATGTTGATGTCAAGTAGTTTCTCTAAATAACGCTGCTTGGTGTTGTCATTTAGTCTCTCCCGATAGAGCCCCTTTCCTTTTGCTTCCCCCTTCTTCATTTATTCCCAAGAAACTGTGCCTTATCGCAAAAATGCAAACAAATATCAAGCTCCTCTCTCTCTCTGTCGCTATTTCTCTCGGTCTCACGGTCGAAGTAACCATGACAACGGATAGCGTATCCTACCAAGATGGCGAATCCTTCCCACAATGCAACGCGGAGTGATACGCGTGACGTCACCTTCTCATTCTCAATATGAAATTGGTAAATTCATACGTAATTTTGGTAGTAACTTAGCTAAAAAGAAAAACAATGATGAGAGTAATATAATATGTAAAATTTCAAATTTTCTATCTAAAATGGTTCTATCTGATGCTGAAAAGGTTGAGCTTACTCATCTTCAAAAAGCGTTGGATGAGGTTTATAAACAAAAAGCCGAAGGGGCATTTGTTAGATCACGGAAAAAATGGATAGAGGAAGGTGAGCAGAATTCTTCTTATTTCTTTAGATTGGAAAGACAACAAATGGAAAAAAATCAGATTGAAATAAAGCTTATGATTGATGGAAATCTTTGTGAAGACCAAAAAGCTATTGCAAATTTTTGTGCCAAATTTTATCGTGAGTTATACACATCTAAATTTAGCAAACAACATGCTCATATCTTTTTTGAGTCCTTATCTTCTGTTAATCAATTAGGTAACGCTGATTTGGTAACGCAAACCTTTTGTGACTCCCCCATTACCTTAAAAGAAATAGAGGAAGCAATTAAATCTCTAAAAACAAATAAATCCCCTGGTACAGACGGTTTAACGTCAGAATTCTATTATGTATTCAGTGAAAATATAGCTCCTTTTTTATTAAATGTCTTTAAGGAAAGCATAAACAATTCGTCTCTCCCTCCTACTTTATGCCAAGGGTTGATCACTTTAATTCCCAAATCAAATAAAAATATTACTTTCATAGATAATTGGCGTCCAATTACATTATCAAACAATGATTATAAAATAATTGCTTTAGTATTAGCCAAAAGATTAAAAGGAGTATTACATTCAATTATTGATGAAACACAATCTGGCTTTATGCAAAATAGACACATATCTAACAACATAAGGTTAATATTGGACATTTTAGATTACTCTGATATAATTAATAACGATAGCTTCATTCTTTTCTTAGACTATTACAAAGCGTTTGATACTTTAGAACACAATTTTCTATTTCAAGCACTTAAAAAAATAGGATTTGGTGACTCATTTTGTAAGATGGTGAAAATGTTGTATATAAATGGAAATAGTTCTATTAAACTAAAAAGCGGTACTTCTCCCAGATTTTTCCTTGATCGTGGTGTTCGACAGGGATGTCCAGTGTCTCCTTATTTATTTTTAATTGCTGTACAATTTCTTAATTTGCATATCAAAAGGAGCAATCTAAAAGGCATAACTGTTGGAACTACAAATTTAATCATTAGTCAGTTAGCTGATGACACAGCGCTGTTTTTAGAAGATTCTTCTCAAATCCCTATAGCCCTAAATATCCTTGAGTCATTTTCTAAAGCCTCCGGTCTAAGTCTGAATACAGATAAATGTGAATTATTTCCCATAAAAAATTGTAGTGTTTCCGCAATAAACGGCATAGCTGTTAAAAGCTCTGTTAAATATCTTGGTATAGAAATAACTAAAGATAAAAATAGATGTGCAACAAATTTTACTCCGATTATTGATAAGACAAAGAAAAAACTGAACTGCTGGCTTCAAAGAGATCTGTCTATATTAAAGGAAGAATTTTGCTCACCAAGGCTGAGGGGCTTTCACGTCTCTCTTATGCTGCCCAATCTCTGTATGTTGATAAGACCACAGCTAAAGTGATTGATAGAGTTCTGACAGATTTCGTCTGGAAAAATAAAATCCACTATATGAAGAAATCGGTGATTCTAAACTATTATAACAAAGGTGGATTAAATTTGATTGATTTTAACTCTTTAAATTATACTTTCAAAATAAATTGGCTTAATCGGTATTTGAAAAATCAAGACTCCATCTGGAATATCTTCCCACAACAAGTGTTTTCATATATTGGGGGGTTGAGATTTTTATTAATGTGCAATTACAACATATAAAAAATTCCTATCAAACTTTCACATTTCCATCAACAGGTACTTTTAGCATGGGCTTTAATATATAAACACAATTTTTCCCCTCATAATTTTCTTATTTGGAATAATCAATATATCTTATATAAAAATAGATCTTTATTTTATGATAATTGGTTTATTAATGGTTTATTTTTAGTCCGTCAGCTTTTTAACAAACAAGGTTTCTTAATGACATACACAGAGTTTCTTTCAGAATACAATATACCAGTTACTCCCAAAGAATTTGCTATAGTTTTGGGAGCTATACCAACAGCGATCTGTATCCTCTTTAAAAATTGTCCTTACTCTCGTACAATAATTAGTACTCTTCCTGAGCCAGATAAAACTCCAATTGGTAAAATATGTTTTTCAGGAAAAAAAGATAGAAATAATAAAGTTAGATCCCTCTTTCTTGTAGATATAGTTTCTGTTTCTCCTGTAATTTCATACTGGAGTAGATTATTTAAAAATTTAAATTGGGAAAAGATTTGGTCCTTACCACAAAAATATTTTTTAACAAATAAAGTAAAAGAAGTATCCTTCAAAATATTAAATAAATTTTACCCTGCTAAATATTTCATGATTAAATATAAAAGTACAAGATGCTCATTTTGCCAACTTCATACAGAAACTGTTTATCATTTATTTTGGTCATGTTTCTATACTAAACAACTATGGGAAAGTATTGGCAAGTTTATTAAAGATAATATCCAGCAAGATATATCAGTAACCTTTAAAGACATTATTGTTGGATACTTTGACTCTGATCCCGATAAAAAAAAAGCCTGCTTTGTAACCAATTTTATTTTATTTTATTGGGAAATTCTATATCCATAAATGTAAATTCTCCAACAACAAACCAATTTTTATAGTTTTTTTTAAAGAATTTGAAATGTACCTTAACACCATCTCATCCTCAGTAAATAAGAAAGCAATAAAAACACTTTTATTTTGTAATGACTTTAATTTGGTTAGACCTACTCTAAATTTTGTATTGAATATCTTGTCCTCTTGACCCTCTTTTTTTTTTTTTTTTTTTTTAGATAGTTACACACTTGTGTTAAGATGACTCTGTACATATTGTTGTCATATTTTGTACAGATATGTTTGCAATTTTGTCATTTGTCATCTTTGTTTGTTTGTAAGCATAATAAAAAAATAAAAAATAAAAAAAAGATATTTGGCCCTCACAAGCAAAGCCAAACGTGTACACAATAACATTCACTCATGTTGGGTTTTCATGTCTTGGGGACATTCCATAGGCATACATACACCAAACTGTAATCTATTCCCCAAACAAACCTACCTTCACAGAAAACTTTCTGCATTTGTTCTATTTTCAAAAACACTTATTATTCCCCACAAGGACACGGATTTCGGATATTGCCATAACATAGTGTATGCCTGAACCACACAACCATACACACACGCCCTATTGGACTACTAAAATAAACAAAACCCTCCCAACATCAGTCTAAACTCTAAAGTACACATGTTTACAAACTTTCGCAACAAAGTGTTTAAGAACAGCGTTTGCCATTCAAAGGTGAATTCTGGAATAATCGCAGGAGTAATTTGAGTGTCTGAAAAATAAATTAAAAAGCGATAAAATGGCAGTACTGCTGCTGGCACTGCTGCTCTGTTGTGGGAGCTCAATTGCACAAGATTTATTGACACCAAATATGGACATTATTGCTGAGCTCCAGAAGCTAAAACACATGGATGAAAGAATACAAAAATTAGAAGAAACACTGACCAAAGTATTGAGTGAGAATGAAGGTAAGGTGGATTTGTCTTGAACATGTCATTGTGGAACAACTTTACAATTTATGAACTTACAAAGAAATTACAACTTACACATCTTTATAAATTCATTGTTTTGCAATATTGTGACATAATCATATCAATGTGTATTCCGTACAGCTTTGAAAACCTTGGTACAAGATTCACAATATAAGTTTGAAACTGTCCAAAAAGAGATTGAAGGCAAGTATAAGGCACATCTTGTTCCCATAGACATTTAAATGTATTAAATTAAACTTTTTATTTGATTACACATTTTATATCAGCCCATTTGCTTATTTCCAGCCAAAAAGGTTGCTTTCTCTGCTGGACTTCTGGCATCTGGAAGCGCACAAACTGGGCCCACTGATAAACTGAAAATTCTGGAATACAAGAAAGTCTTTAGTAATGTTGGAAGTGCCTATGACTCAAATACTGGTAAGGACTGTAAAGAGAATACCATTACAGGAATACTGTTCTTAAACCTGTTCACATATGATGACATTTTCTGTGGCTGCTTTGTTCATGTGCCTTACAGGTATTTTCACAGCACCAATAAAAGGAGCCTATTACTTCAGATTTTATGCTCATTCTCATGGTGGAACCACAATGGCAGTCAGTCTCTTGAAGAACGGTGAAACCCAGTGCTCTGTGCATGCCTGGAAGCCTGTTAGCAATGGTAATGGCAGCAATGGTGTTGTTCTCACACTGGAGATCGGTGATCAGATTTATACACGACTTTGGAAGAACACCTGGGTTTATGATGATCCAGAAAGTTACACTAGTTTCAGTGGCTTTCTGATTTTCCCCTTGTGAACACCTGAATTTCTTAGAAATCCAGTGCAGGATGTGATGCAAAACACAATTATATGAAATTGTTCCTGTGTAAGTGACCTATGTCCAAGTAAATTAGAGCAAATAGGGACAACAAAAGGGAAATAATTGTTTATGCTTGTTAGTTACGATATGTTAATGTCTGGACTTCTTCATATTTCTTGAAGTCTGAAGAGTAAATGAGCTGAACTCATATGATCTATCTAAGAATGAGAGTAATACATATCTCTAACATATCAAATGCTGAACATTTCATTAAATAAACCAAATATGTAACACAGAATTATGATTCACTTGCATTTTTCCCCCAAGGTGGTCAGACACCAGCAAAGAATCGGCAAGTCAATGATAAACAGTCAAAATTAGACTTTTAAAGCTAATAGTGTGCAGTTTAATGGTCAAATATGAATCATACTTCACATCAAATTCATGTTATTGGTGGTATGAATGAAAAAATAATTTAGAAAAAGTTTTATTTTTTTAACTTAAAAGACCATCCTAACCACTTAACCTAAAAATCACTGACAGCATTGTCACATGATCAAATATTTGCCACGGTTAACACTGAAGAAAAAAAAAAAGAAAAGAAAAAAAACCAAACCAAAACATTTAATTTAATATTTTATTGAAACTTTCCTGTAGAATTATTCTGAAACAGGGTGATGTAAAAAAGACAGGTAAATACAAACATAGATGTTTCATGGAAGCTTGTTGGTTCTCTGTAGAGGAGCCACTCAAGTTTCTCCCTTTAAAAATACAAATTTTACCTTTGTTCACAGAAAGAAAATTCCCATAGAGACACAGGGCAAACAGGGAACAGGCCAGTTTCACTGAGAATGCATAATGGACATATTCTGATAGTGAAAAATAAAAACCCAGAATTATTAGGAATAACTGGAGAATGTCATAGTTTCTGTTGTTTGAAAACAAATGTTTGTCTTCATCAAGGTTAAGGGACTTCAAAAGCCTGAAAAGTTGTCATGCTTACATTAAAAATAAACTGACATCAGTGAAACTGATGTAATTGTAGTGTCAGTTATTATAAGTGTGCAGGCATCTATAGACAAATCTTTTAAAGACTGGCTTCAACCTTTCAAAAGAACTGAAAGGGTTGAATTTTGAGTGGGTGTCTGAAATCCATGGTGTTAAAAACAGCCTATGAGTCATCGCCATTAACGCTGTCACCATCTTCCCCTTCCACATGCTCACCCTCTTCCTCCTCTTCTTCCTCTTCTTCATTCTCTCCTTCCTGGCTTTTAACCTGAGGAAAAACAACAACAACTTGTCAGTGTATCGCCATAGTTGGAAACAAATCTTAGAGACCCAAACAGAGAATATTAGAATTGAGAATATTAGACATCTTTACTCAAATCATGTCCTCACAAATTCAGCACCAATTACACTTAATCTTAACATCCATAATCATAAATGCAAATAAATTAATTTTCACAAACCTCCTCCTCTTCCTCCAACAGATCTCTTTCCTCCTCAGAATCGTTTATCTCTTGCTCTTCCCTCTCTCTGTCTTTCTTGCTGGAATGCTGCAGAGAGGAAGCCTCACCCACTTCTGCCTTCACACTCTTCCCCTCTGATGTAAAAAAAAAAAAAAAACATGCATATACAATAAATATAAACACACATACTGTACATATATACACTACTGTCCAAAAGTCTTAGGTACGTTAGTATTTTCACCCCCCAAAAATGGTTTTAAGCCAGTTATTTATATGTTTTGCTGTAATGTGTCTGAAGGAAATATCAGTTTACATTTCCAAACATTCATTTTGCCATTAATTGTAATCCAGTAAGATTTTTGTATGCACAAGTAGTCCGACAACAGCCAATATGCTCCACACGGAGATCTGATCTCGCCATCAGAGTCTGTCTGTGATTACATGAAGAAACAGAAAAAACTGAGACCGACTAAATCCAGAAGAACTGTGGCAACGTCTCCAAGACGCTTGAAGAAACAAACGTCCAAAGCTACAGTACTGTGAAAACTTTTAGGCACTCGTGTAAAACTGCTGTAAAGTGAGGATGCTTTCAGAAAATAATGTCATAAATAGGTTTTATTGATCATTTAACTTATATTAACTAAATCAAAACAATTTTTGGTGTGACCACCCTTTGCGTTTAAAACAGATTTTGTTCTAGGAACACTTGCACATAGTTAAGGTATCTTTGGAGGTCAGTTTCTTCAAACGTCTAGGATACATTGCCACAGTTCTTCTGGATTTAGTCTGTCTCAGTATTTTCTGTTTCCTCATGTAATCACAGATAGACTCGATGGTGATATCAGATCTCCTCGTGGAGCATACCAGCTGTTGTCAGACTCCTTGTACATACAAAATTTTTTTTTGATGTAATGGTATTTTAAAATGTATTATTTTTGAAAAATAATATGATTAATGATTATTTTCTGGGGCCATTTGAAGGCCATGTATGGTGAACCTGCTGCAGAAACTCAGGGGGAAACGGTGAACACTTTTACCGGATTTCTTGCTGTGGTCTTTCTCCATCCTGTCCAGACTCTCCAGCAGATAGTCAACCTTGTGTTTGATTTGAGAAAGCTCTCTCTTAATTGTTTGGAGGTCATCTGCTTTTACTGAAAGAAAAAGAATTCCCTGAATGCATGTACCAATTGACAAGCCAACCAAGGTCAAAAATGTAAAATGAGTAAAGTCAGGCTGTAAAAAAGTTTTTTAAAAAGTTTAAAAAGTAAAAAAAAAATGCAATGTTAACCAAAAAAATAAATAATAATAAACACAAAAATCAACCAAAATGTATTTAACATATTTGTCACTGGTTGATTAAATGGTTAGTTTACCCATCATTTACTCACCCTTGTTTTGTTCCAAACCCGTAAGACTTTTGTTCGTCTTCGGAACACAAATGAAGATTTTTTTTTTTACTAAAATCTGAGCCAGCTCTGTACTCTCCATTGACAGCTACCATTTTGAAGCTTTAAAAAGTTCATAAAGAGATCGTAAAACTAATCCAATTGAATTGAGCGGTTTAGTCTAAATTCTCTGAAGAGATACAATCGCTTTATATGATGAACAGATTGAATTTAGGCTTTTATTCACGAATAAACATTGATCAGCAAACATAAACAGAAGCTTAACCGAACCTGCTTGACGAGCGAGAACCAACCTCTTGTGGAAGCTCAAACTTGCTGCATAACATGAGAATGAACCTCATTGGTTCTCACACTTCAAGAGAACATGCTTGAGCTTTCGTTTACCACAACTGATGTGCGAGTTGATGAATGTTTTTATGTGAATAAAAGCCTAAATTAAATCTGATCAGCGTATAAAGCGAACATGTCTCTTCAGAAAATTTGAACTAAACCACTCAATTCATATGGATTAGTTTTTACGATCTCTTTATGAACTTTTTGAAGCGTCAAAGTGTCAGTTGCATAGCTGCCAATGGAGGGACATTTTATTCTTGTGACACTTTATTTGTGTTCCAAAGATGAACTAAAGTCTTACAGGTTTGGAACGACATGAGGGTGAGTAATTAATGACAGAATAGATTTTTTTGGGTGAACTATCCTTTTAAACAAACCCCTCTAGAGTGAAAATAAAGAAAAAAGTACTGACGGGCTCGAGAGGATGTCCGCTGGCTGCTCTTGGAAGCAGTTGAGAAACTGGACTTGGTGCGGCGGCTGGTTCCCCCACTCATACTGACCCGTGGACGTTTGGAAGGGATCACAGCCCGTGACAGAGGAGGTGGTGGTGGCGGGGGCACACGGGAAGGATATGAATACATTCTGTACAACACAAAGAGATTGAGGTGTCAGCAAAAAGTGCACACATTTTTATATATATACCCACTGGCAAAGTGTTTGTACGACACATCGACAACTGCAGATCTTACCTGTCAAAGTATTCTCTCTGGAAATCATAATCAACCTCAAAACCAGAACTACTGCTGGAGAGACTTTAGAAAAATAGAGATTTTAACAACAACAACAACACTGGCTTATTGGAATAAAACATTAAAATGGGTGAATATAAAAAAAATTAAAACAAATGTATAACTTACCTGTACATATCTCCAGCTGATCGCTTGGACGTGTTTGGCCTGTGAGGTTTGGGTTCTCCTGCCAAGTTAATATCTGATTGAAAGACAAGGCAATTGTTTAATTAAAAAAAAACAATAAGATAAAATAATAAGATAAGTCTCAGATTGTTTTATGTCCTCACCAAGCACCTGTCCAACGATCATCCGGCCGTCCTCTCCTGCAACAGCAGCTCGCGCGGTCCTCTCGTTGACGTACTGGACAAAAGCGTAGCCCTTGTGCACAGAGCAGCCAACAATCTTGCCGTATTTGCTAAAAATAGCTTCAACATCTGCCTTGGTAACCAGCATAGTATTTAGGTTTCCAATGAAGACCCTTGAGTTCAGCGACCGTGGGTCTGTCTTATTTGTGACGTTGCTGGCAATCAGCTGACTAGCGCTGGGAGAACGACTAGGGCAGTGAAAGGAGACATAAGGAAGGAAATTAGTATATTTTTGAGGGGAAAGCTTGCAAAATGTTGAGCCTATCCTACTTTTATGACATATAGTACAGTATTTTTATTTTTATTTTTTGCTACTTGCTGATGTATGCATTTGCTAATTTGTGGATGATCTGGCTAGATTATAAAGTAAACCCAAACAGTACAATACTATTCCTCAATAACTATTTAATAACTATTCCTCAATACTATTCCTCATTTGTGGTTTCTGTATTAGACATTGAAAGTAACTGTTGATGACTGTGACTCACTCCATGGTGTTACTGCAGGCCAGGGCAGTCGTCTGTTTGTCAATGGGAATAGCCAAAAGTGCAGATTGCTCTCAGCCAAAGCAACAATTCCAACACCCCAACCAGTGAGCAGCCCTTGGCTCCTAACAATAACACTGAGAGAACCAAAACACACCTCATTACATCTGTACAAGGTTAGATTTGTTTTGAGAGATAATATACATTCTCATAAGAATATACATAAGAAAGATGACCAATCAAAATTCAGTATGCAAAATAGTATGGTCATTAGGCGAACATTCTATTTGTGGAAAAAAATTGAAAGTAAAAATTAATTATAGGGGGGGGGGGGGGGGGGGGGGGGGGGGGGGGATAACGTAAAGAAAAAAAGTATTTGTTGAAACGGCTATAGCAAACATTTGGTTTCATCTTCATCATTCACAAAAAGTGATGCAGCAGATTCCCGCGATTATAAACATCGTTAACTTTGACCTGAAATACCCAGCGCGACCAGAGAGCTGCAATTTGGGTTCTTATCACCCTCTCTCCTCTCCACATATAGCCGGTGTGTGGTGAGCGCACGGGGGCCGTTGTTCTGTGGCTGCCGTCGCATCATCCAGGTGGTGGTGGTTGAGGAGAGACCCGACATGATTGTAAAGCGCTTTGGGTGTACAGCAGTACACAGTAAAGCGCTATATAAATGCCTCATTCATTCATTCATTCACTCACACAATTGAGTTTGAATATTCCCATTTAACACTCAAGAACGCGGTATGGTTTCTTTGATTAAATTATTGATGCAAGGCGTTATGACTCAACACACGTGGCAGATATTCAAATTCATGAAATGTAATAGAAAATCCTCGAAGTAGACAAAGAGGACAAACAGGGCCTCGATCATAGACCGGAGGTATAACGGATATTTCTGCAAATGCACGAAAAATATGGAAAGGTCATTGTTGATTTAGAATAAAAAACTATAATTTACTCACCATGCGTTTAAAATGTGTTATTTAGGACTAATCTTACAGTGCCTGCAAAAAAAGCAACAACTGTGAATTCGCCGCGAGCAGTCAATCTGCTACGACATAAAGCTGGCCACACATTTTTCAAGTTTAAAGTCATATGTTTTATTTATTTTTATAAGCACTTCTTCTCGTCTAAACTCCGTAACGCTGACCTGCACAGTGTTCATAAAATCATAAAATATCAATAAACGCTATAAGTTGCGTGTTTTTTAAAGCCGCAGTTGCGCCATTTGGCAAACGAATAAGGGCTTGTATTTTGAAAGAATCATGACCCCTTTCGAGTAGCGTTGCGCGCCCTTCACACATTCAGTCACATTCTCAATTTCTCTCTCTCTCACACTCACACACAGGTGCCTATATGGTCACTTATTGCTTATCACCTATTATTTCAGGGTTTTTTATGAATGTCTGGAATTAGTAGTAGTGAACCTTAAATTGCATATTGCAGGTTAGAGTACCCAGTGAGCAAATGTATAGAAAAATAATGTAGGAACTAGATTTAAATGTAAAAAACCGCATTTAGGCTTCTGGAGTCGTTTTTGTGAGAAAATTTTACTTCCTCATCTGAAAACCGCCAAACCGGAAGTGACGTAACGGGAGGGACTGCGGTCAAAGTAAATGGATCGCAATGACAGTCCGGATGCTGAGGAAATTGTAGCCTAAATGTTTACTTGTATGACGGACCTCAGCCATATAATTATGAGCCTGCAATGCAGCCAAGAGTGCAGGGGCCAGGATTAGACAAAACAACGGTCAGAGGAGACAAATTGAGTTGTAGTGTGACTGTGAGGAGAACAGGGCAGGTGTCTTGGTGAGAGACTTGTTCGTTTATAGATCTATCCACGTTAGCCTATGTATAACACATGCTCAGATCACAATATTGTAGATTATTATCATGTATCAGGCAATAGCAACGCTAGTATTGGACCCTTACCTGCATATGTTGTGTTTGTCAGCCATTAGGAAACAGTTTCCGGAGAGACTTTATAAAGGCTTTGAATGGTCCCATTTTGGTGACAATGAATACAAACATAATCACAACTTTCTTACTGTATAAAAACTTTATATGTAGAAACAGCCAACACAAACATTAAAGTGGTTTTGAAAAAGATTTAAAAAGAATTATAGAATATTATATTTATAATAATAATGGGCCTAAGTATGCAGACTAATAACAAACACATCAATGCATTACATTACAAGTTTATTTAGGATATGTTCATGAATTAAATTAAGACAAGGCACATTTTGTAAAAATAGATGTACAATAAGTGATCTCTGACGGATCCATGACCGTCATTTCCCGCCGGCGGCCGAACCACATGCTGACAACGGACCGGGCGACGGGCGGACCCGATGAAGGTGCAACCGAAGGAACCGCATCAGCCCAGAGTCTCACTTGGTTCTTGCTTCGGCATCCCATGTTGAACTCCATATCGCCGGGATTATAATCATCCGGTCTATAGTGAACGCTACACACTACCGCGTTTTTCGAAGCGGAAGTGAAGTTCCGTCTCTTCACCTGCACAAAACGTACCCAGGCACGGAAGATAGCACCGTCCTTTTTCTTCTTCGGAAACCTGTGGACTAGATGTAATTCACAATAATTTACCACGACGATGATAAATTGAAATTCAATAACCACCGAAAACACACTGAATCACGACCGCTACTGAATACCAACCTACTCCGCATTGAGCAAACGCAGAGCCCGACTCCCTCTCGTGACGTAATATGACGCGGTTAAAAAATGTCACGTTTTCTACTAAATTTGTGCCCTTATGTCTTGCAAAACAATTTTAAATCCTGCATTAACTTTTCACATGGTATTTTCATACAAGGTTATATATTAATTTTGGGAAAAAAGAAAAAAAACTTGCAATATGCGCTTTAAGTTTTTCTCCTGACAATAGAGGGCACAAAATCTCATCTCAGCACTTTTGATGAATGGCTACGCTAATTTTTAATTTCCGAGTTAATCTGAATATCAACATTTGTGAGATTTAGTCAGACGAAAGAGTTTTGAGATTAATTGATCTAATTTTGTGTCTCTGGAAAATAGTGATCTATGACATTGTTTTTTGTTGAATATCAAAGGGTTTTTTTTGTCTCGATTTGTTAATAGGGGATTTGTGAACACAACAATTGTTTTGGATTTAAGGAGTAAAAGTTATAGTATTTATTTTTAAGTAAAAATATACAATTAGACCCTTGGGGTAGATGACCCCATCCAACATATATTTAATTAAAATATGGGTAATCAAATATGTAAATATAAAAATATGCCTGTACATAAGTCCCAGAATAATTTTACCTTTCAGATGACTCTTTTACTGGGATTCTGCTTTGTCTGTCATCGGTTTATATATATATATACATTCACCTAAAGGATTATTAGGAACACCATACTAATACTGTGTTTGACCCCCTTTCACCTTCAGAACTGCCTTAATTCTACGTGGCATTGACTCAAGGTGCTGAAAGCATTCTTTAGAAATGTTGGCCCATATTGATTGGATAGCATCTTGCAGTTGATGGAGATTTGTGGGATGCACATCCAGGGCACGAAGCTCCCGTTCCACCACATCCCAAAGATGCTCTATTGGGTTGAGATCTAGTGACTGTGGGGGTCATTTTAGTACAGTGAACTCATTGCCATGTTCAAGAAACCAATTTGAAATGATTCGAGCTTTGTGACATGGTGCATTATCCTGCTGGAAGTAGCCATCAGAGGATGGGTACATGGTGGCCATAAAGGGATGGACATGGTCAGAAACAATGCTCAGGTAGGCCGTGGCATTTAAACGATGCCCAATTGGCACTAAGGGGCCTAAAGTGTGCCAAGAAAACATCCCCCACACCATTACACCACCACCACCAGCCTGCACAGTGGTAACAAGGCATGATGGATCCATGTTCTCATTCTGTTAACGCCAAATTCTGACTCTACCATCTGAATGTCTCAACAGAATTCGAGACTCATCAGACCAGGCAACATTTTTCCAGTCTTCAACTGTCCAATTTTGGTGTGCTCTTGCAAATTGTAGCCTCTTTTTCCTATTTGTAGTGGAGATGAGTGGTACCCGGTGGGGTCTTCTGCTGTTGTAGCCCATCCGCCTCAAGGTTGTGTGGGTTGTGGCTTCACAAATGCTTTGCTGCACACCTCGGTTGTAACGAGTGGTTATTTCAGTCAAAGTTGCTCTTCTATCAGCTTGAATCAGTCGGCCCATTCTCCTCTGACCTCTAGCATCAACAAGACATTTTCGCCCACAGGACTGCCGCATACTGGATGTTTTTCCCTTTTCGCACCATTCTTTTTAAACCCTAGAAATGGTTGTGCGTGAAAATCCCAGAAACTGAGCAGATTGTGAAATACTCAGACCGGCCCGTCTGGCACCAACAACCATGCCACGCTCAAAATTGCTTAAATCACCTTTCTTTCCCATTCTGACATTCAGTTTGGAGTTCAGGAGATTGTCTTGACCAGGACCACACCTCTAAATGCATTGAAGCAACTGCCATGTGATTGGTTGATTAGATAATTGCATTAATGAGAAATTGAACAGGTGTTTCTAATAATCCTTTAGGTGAGTGTATATATATATATATATATATGACAATTATATCAAAAGTAATATATACATTCTGTAAAGTTAATCCAAAGGAGGCTTTTTACCACAGGTAGGAGGCCAACTTAACCCAGTAGGGTCCATCTTACCCCTCTTTTAATAATAATAATAATAAAAAAAAAAGGTACACTCCACTCACTTTAAGGTTGAATTCCTAAACAAATTATGTTCAAAGAAGGCAAAGTGGCTTCTTTGGGTATAGTTTCATTTCATTTTTACGGTTTCATAAAGAGTGTCAGTCCAAATTATATTTTTCCTGAAATTTATTTGCTTAAGTTTCACAATTTTCTAATGCCTTAATGCTGATTGCTCAAACAGCTAATGAAAAGGAACATTAAAATCAGGACCTAAATATGACTACAATAGCAGAGAGAAAACAGCACTAGTGTAATAATATCGGTAACACTTTACAGCAAGGAAGTTATCTTCATTAGTTAACACGAACAAAACAATGAACAATACTTACAACTATATTCATTTTAGTTAATGTTAATTTTTTTTTTTTTATCAAAAGTTATATCTCTTAACATTAGGAACTGTGATCTAACGTAAACAATTAATTTATTAACTAAATTAATAAATGCTTAAAAAAAAGCTTATTCTGAGTTGATGTTATGCTAATGTATTAAATTAAAAAAAGAGAACTTCTTGTTAAGTGTTACCATAATATATACGGTTTATAAACATTTTAGATTTTATGCCAATTAATCAAATGTTATGCCTGTACATGGCATGTCCCCTATTACACAAATTTGTTATATTTTAGGAAATAAATTATTTAATAGAAATCAATTATTCGTCATTTATGTCTAAGCACAGGATGCTCAAATAGTGAAAGAGAAACCAAGTCTATGCTACCAAACAAACATACAACTAATTAAATAGCAATAATTACACTCACCGGCCACTTTATTAGGTACCCCATGCTAGTAACGGGTTGGACCCCCTTTTGCCTTCAGAACTGCCTCAATTCTTCGTGGCATAGATTCAACAAGGTGCTGGAAGCATTCCTCAGGGAGTTTGGTCCATATTGACATGATGGCATCACACAGTTGCCGCAGATTTGTCGGCTGCACATCCATGATGCGAATCTCCCGTTCCACCACATCCCAAAGATGCTCTATTGGGTTGAGATCTGGTGACTGTGGAGGCCATTTTAGTACAGTGAACTCATTGTCATGTTCAAGAAACCAATTTGAAATGATTAGAGCTTTGTGACATGGTGGAAGTAGCCATCAGAGGATGGGTACATGGTGGCCATAAAGGGATGGACATGGTCAGAAACAATGCTCAGGTAGGCCGTGGCATTTAAACGATGCCCAATTGGCACTAAGGGGCCTAAAGTGTGCCAGGAAAACATCCCCCACACCATTACACCACCACCACCAGCCTGCACAGTGGTAACAAGGCATGATGGATCCATGTTCTCATTCTGTTTACGCCAAATTCTGACTCTAACATCTGAATGTCTCAACAGAAATCGAGACTCATCAGACCAGGCAACATTTTTCCAGTCTTCAACTGTTCAATTTTGGTGAGCTCTTGGAAATTGTAGCCTCTTTTTCCTATTTGTAGTGGAGATGAGTGGTACCCGGTGGAGTCTTCTGCTGTTGTAGCCCATCCGCCTCAAGGTTGTGCGTGTTGTGGCTTCACAAATGCTTTGCTGCATACCTCGGTTGTAACGAGTGGTTATTTCAGTCACTGTTGCCCTTCTATCAGCTCGAACCAGTCTGGCCATTCTCCTCTGACCTCTGGCATCAACAAGGCATTTCCGCCCACAGAACTGCCGCTCACTGGATGTTTTTTCTTTTTCGGACCATTCTCTGTAAACCCTAGAGATGGTTGTGCGTGAAAATCCCAGTAGATTAGCAGTTTCTGAAATACTCAGACCAGCCCTTCTGGCACCAACAATCATGCCACGTTCAAAGTCACTCAAATCAACTTTCTTCCCCATACTGATGCTCGGTTTGAACTGCAGGAGATTGTCTTGACCATGTCTACATGCCTAAATGCACTGAGTTGCCGCCATGTGATTGGCTGCTTAGAAATTAAGTGTTAACGAGCAGTTGGACAGGTGTACCTAATAAAGTGGCCGGTGAGTGTATATAAACTATGATTACATAGCATGACGGCCTGAAATTAGTTGCACGGAAAATAAATTCTTCCTGTATTTGCAGTAAATGAAGGCACTTAAAATAATAAGGCACTTGGTCAGAAACAAAAGAACAAATTTTTCTCTTTTTTTTACTGCACAAATCATACATGTTGTCTGAACTGAACTGAAAGAACACAACATTAGGCAGCGGTGGGATATCTAAGATGAAAACCCTAAAAAAGAAAAAAAGAAGAGAAAAATACATGCCAGTGACAGGACAGACATTTTGAGCAGACAAGTGAGAATGAGAAAATGCTTTTAACTGCAGTGACAATTAGGGTTGTAATCCAAAAAAAAGAAGAAGAAGAAAAAAAAAAACAATGTTTCATTCATTTAAAAGTATTTTGTCTTATACAATATAAATCTCTACATCAATACCAATTAAATTTAGACACTCTTTGAAAGAGAAATGGTTGATGATGATTTTTACATGTATTTAATATTTATTTATATATATATATATATAATATCTTTATATATTTGTATATACATCTAGTCATTTAAGTTATTCTTCTCATACAAAAAGAGAAAAGTTGAGACTTTATTTCCCTTACAAAAGAAGAAGGAAAAAGGGGGCAAAGTAATTCAAGCTTCTTACCCATCCCTGCGTACCCCCACAAGTGCTTTACATCCCCTGCCCTTGACCCATAATTCTTTTCAACATGCAAGTTGCAACAGGTCACAGTCCATCCATGTTTGCTCTTAACCAGCTGAATCCAAATACTGACAAAGAACAGCCACCATTTTTATGAAAAATGGGTTGCGAGGGCTTAGTGGGTTCTTCAGGCAAACATGGAACATCCTGCTACATTTGATCCTTTCTACCTAGTTAGGCAAAGATCTCGAGGATGTGTATTCAAACAAAAGACAGAGGAAGAAACAAGGATTCAACAAATCACTGGATCTGAGCACATCATCGTCTTTGCTCTCAATTTCTACGGGACAGGGCTGAGAAGACGAAAGCAGTCCATGGAGACGAGAGTTACATTTTGTAGCCTTTTGAAATTTCTTCAAGAACTCCAAGTCATCTCCACCCAAGTGCAAAACCAAAAACCAAAGAGCTGGTGTCAAATCTCTGTATTCAATTTAAAAGTCCACAATAAGTTTGGGGAATTTCAGGGCAAAAACAACTAAATTAGCTAAATAAACATTTAACCCAAGTATTGCATGCCCCCTAAGCTCACACTCGTCTTAGAGATTCAAAACTCAAAGCAGATCCCTGATTAAAGTGCACTCAGTAGCATGGGAGAGAGGAACGGAGAAAAACAGCCAGCTCTAAAACCAGATTAAGTAGCTCTGGCTCATCTTCTGTCTTCAGTCAGATCTACGAGAGCATGATTGACCTCAAGAAAATTTGCCGCGCCTGGCTTCAGAAAACACACACACACACACACACACACACACACACACACACACACACACACACAGGAGAAGAGAACAAAGACAAGACCGGATTGGACGGCCAGACGCCGATGACAGTCTATCGATGCAATGAAAAAGACAAAGATTGCAGTCCAAAAATAACAAACGTCAGCTCAGTCTTGGAAACAGAGGCAGTTCAGATCACTGGAGAAAACTGATGAGGCGAGTGAAGGATGGTGCTGTTTTTGAACAAGTAACACTCATCATATCAGTAATCTGCAAAAGGACTGGCTTTGAGTGTCCGCACTGTCCCATCATGCACAGAAAACATCGCTGTGAAAGAAAAGCTTAAAGTGGACCTGTTTTCTACAGCACAGATGAGAAATGTCCTCTTCTGCGCCTCACGACTGCTGCAGCAAAACGCTGCTTCTTGGATGTTGATAAACTAAGGCAGCAAAACAGTAGAGGCGATATTTCTCGATCATCGGCTGTGGTCTTCCATGTGATGCGCTGTAAAACTGGGAATGAAATGTGTCTGTGTCCATGTTTGCATAAAATCAGAGTGGTTAATTGCGTGTGTGGTTGCAAATGTATCAAAAATATGAATTTCAGTATCAGTTCTTCCCCTAGTAATGTATCTGTGTGTGTGTGTGTGTGTGTGTGTAGAGCATAAAGCCAGATTTTGACAATCGTTTCCCTCTCCCTCACACTGTGTATGTGTATATAAAGCTGTGTGTGGGTTTGTTGCTGGCCTTTCAGTGTCTATTTGTGTACCAGTGTGTTACTAGTATGTATGTGCTTAAATATATGGCAAAGAGTGTGTGTGTGTGTGTGTGTGTGTGTGTGTAGGTGTGTGGCTCAGGAGGACATGCACTGCACATGGTCTGGCCCTCCGTCTTCTTCATCAGAGGAATCTGGCGAGCTCCAGGATTCGTCTGTGTCGCCCTCTCCTCCCTCCCCTCGCCGGGCCTTAAAGGGACAAAAACATTGAGAAAGCTTTCAGTGTACAGTTTTTGAATAGCTATGAAGAAATCAGATCATGGAGCATGAGGCCAAGTTCTTTTTTTTCAGGCAAACCAAACATTATGAGGTATTAGGGCTGTGCGATTAATCGCAAATAATTTTTGATTTGGCTTCCAACGAGAAAACAAGAAAACAAGATAATCAAGGTAAAACGATTATTGTGCCTTCTGTCACATTCTGTCCAGTACACTTTCCTCTCCTTCACAGCGATGCACATTCTTTCCTCCCAAAGCCAAAATGAACATCCAAATCACCTGGATAAGTGAGTGTTGTAAAATGCAGTCTACTGTTGCTAAACTGCAGGATGTGCTTGATATTAAACAGTGTTATTAAAAGCACATTATGCCACGAAAAAAGATACTGTTCCCTTGGCGGCTGTCTGTGTGCGCACTCCGGGACGGTGGCGGAACACACATAAGCAAAGTATACTATGGGCTTCAGATACATGCCTAAACAGTCAAATAGCCTATACACACTTATGTTGAAATGCCATTTTGAAGAGTAGCCTATCTTTGTAAAAACAGTCGGTTATGTCTTAAATTAATGTTAAAAATTGAGAAAGAAAACGCATGTGTATATCAGTATATTGGATCCGTGCAGCTCTTAAAGTGACAGCAGCCTAATAAACCTGCAGCAGTCATTAATGTTAATCAAACAACAAAAGACAAAGATTTTTTAAAAAATCACTGAATGAATAACTTTTGTAGTTTTAATAAGGATTAGTCTATATTTAATGTATACAGCAGTGTTTTTTTTTTACATTTGCTTACTTTATTCAATTTCTGTTGTAGCAGGCTATTACTTATCTGAGTACCACTCTAAGTACATCTTTCTGAAAAACCTAAAGCACAGTTTATTTAATTTGTACTTTTGTTCTTTTTATTTATTTGTCCTTTTTGTTTGTAATTAGTTTTTTTGCTCTTACTGTATTGCTGACCATTTACTTCTCTTCTGTAACTGTTTTGAGAACCTTTTACCTACATTAGTTAACCTAGTATTAGTTTTTGCTGAAGTATCGATAATTGTGAAATTTCACTGATTTTTAAAATTACTCGTATCATGAAATAAGACTTTGATTATATTACCCACCAACAATTGTGTTAAAAAAATAGTGATTTCAATATTGACCAAAATAATCGTGAATATGATTTTTGCCATAATCGAGCAGCCCTATATTCTATTTATGGTTTCCAGTTTTGTTTGAAAAAGCACAAATTGTATGTTAAGTGTAGAAGTGAACAAAAACACTTTCATCTGAGTGATTTTGATTTCATACAGCAGCATGTTCCTTTGCACAAAGTATATGGCACTATATCTTAAGTATATTGAAATGAACTACATAGTCAAGCCAATAAGACTATATATTAGTAATGAAAAATATCTTAGAAGAGCAAATTCTCACTCGCTGAGGTCTTCGGTTTCTCATGTGTCTCATCAGGAACCAGAGGAGCTGTGTGTCATACTGGTCACCATGACGAACGCTGTCTTCATCACGCTCTCGCTTGTTCTTCTTCATTACCTAAACAGCCACAATAAAATGACAAACATTTATGCATTGTTCCATTAACAAAATATTTATTAGCTACACTACTGTTTAAGAGAGTTTTAAATGTTTTTGAAAGTCTCTTTGCTCACCAAGGCTGCATTTATTTGATAAAAAATACAGTAAAACAGCAATACTGTGAACATTATTACAATTTTAAAAAACTATTTTTAAGTTTATTTTCAAGACATTAAAGACTCAAAGTGTTACAAAAGATTTCTGTTTCAAACACATGCTGTTCTTTTGAACTTTCTATTCAAAGAATCCTGAAAATCTACTGAAAAGTCAGCATTGCCATCACTTGAATAAATTACATTCTGACATATATTAAAATAGAAAATGGTTATTTCCCCACATCATCACATACATGGCATGGTTTTATTTCAGTTAGCCTTAATGGATCCATGAAATAACTGGCCTTTAAAAATACAAATCTGCCAGCCTCTATGGAAATTTAACATAGGGGTGTCCTGACTTATGCACCCTGTATTTTGCTAAGCACTGTACCTCTTTAAGTCCCTTTAGTGTTGTGGGATTCTCAGCAGTGGGCGCCCACAGCTTCACATCATGGTCCAAACCACTGGTGGCTAAACCTGGAAGATGAGGATGTGGCTCCAGACAGTTCACCTGAACATAGAAAGAAAATATTTTTGGGACGGTAAAGAATACTCCTACACTCCTATCAATTTGTAAACCAGAAGTTAAAGGTTCTAGTCTAGATTAGTCAAGTGAAAGGGTCTTACCACTCCTCCCCGGTCTCCCTCCATAAACTGAACCACACGAGCAGAGTTCTTATCCCACAAGTAGATGTGTCCACAGTCACTGCCACTGACAACAAACTCACTACAGGGACCATAAAAGTTAACCCCCTTCACTGGATTTTCCAATAGCAGATGGGAAGAGAAAAAAAGGGGGAAATGGTTTCACAAAAACTGAATCAATATTGGTTATAACATGCATGCAATATGTGATACATCCCTTATACTGCAATTAAATCTAATGAAAGCATTCCGGTTTGAGACAAGTACCTGTAGCATTGTTGCGGTGACCCTTGTATCTTCTACGGTAATCAGCCCCGTCACTGTGGCTGGAGTCGAAAAGGTAAATGTCCTCGTCATTGTAACTTGCCAGCAGTTCTGAAAGACAGTTCAATCATGACACTTTGAATGTTGCTACAACAGATCATATAACATGTAAAGTTTTTAATCAAAGCCATGAAACCATACAAGGGTCACAGAGTTATAAGTTTACTTGTTACCTGTGCCATCATGGCTGTACACTAAACAGGTGATATTTGTTTTGGACTCGCTGGACACCAAGTGAGAGGGACAAAACTTCTTTAGCACACCATTATTATCGTGTTCATTTATCTTTCTCTGGTCATAGATCCTATCACATATAAAAACAGGAAGAGAGAGAAACAGTGATGCAGTACAAGAGTTATGTCTACTGACAGGGTGCCATTGGAGAAACAATTGTAACAGGTATAAAGTTTGACAATTGCATCAGAAGCAGCTTGTGATATAAAAGACAGAAATAAAACAACGTTGGGACATGATTTCAAAACGTATAAGACTCATAAAACTACAGACATACGCAGAAGCATGACTTTGGTGCAAAGGAGGTGACGACATGTCAGTGAAGATGTTTGTCTCACCTGACATACTGGTCTCTACCACCCACAGCAAATTGGTGTGTGTTGGCTGGGTTCACGAAAATGGTATACAGCCCAACCTTCTTTTCGCCCTCCTTCACCACCACCAGTTTGCTGAGCGAATAAAAAAAGCAATTATTTCATTCTTCATATGGAACAAGAGTGTATCATATGAAATCACACCCATTCTATGCTCTAAAACAATGCAGACTTAATACTCAAAACCCACCTAAATTAGTTAAATAACATTGTTATAAGTTTGAGTGTAAAGAGATAGTTTTTCCATGATGCCAGTAAAGAGGAATCTGGTTGTTAAAAATTTATGTTTCTCTAATGTGACCAAATATTTTCTTTTCTTCAGGATAGCAGATTTTTTAAAAAAAATTGTTCGCCTTTTTGCCATTTTTATTTTTGTAGCATAGAAAAGAAAATAAGAGAAGAAAATGCGAACTGGATCAGGAAATATGGCAAGTCGGAATATCAAACACATTCAAATTTGAGCTGATGGGGGAAAAAATATGACAGTCAGGAGCAATTCTAGGATTGCTAACCCAAATATGTGATGTTTTATAGTAAATGTGAAGAGAGATCAGATAATTAGATTTTACAGGCAAGTACACCCAATTTATCTCCAATAAAGTGGGTCTATTACTTGCTATTAGAATGCTGAAGTGTATACAATATAAATCAAAGTTTGGGGTCGGTAAGATTTTTTTTAATGTTATTGAAAAAATTCTCACCAAGGTGGCTTATATTTGATCTTTTAATATATTTTAAAAAGGTAATTTTTTCCTTTTCAGCATCATTACTCCAGTCTTCAGTGTCACATGATCCTTCGGAAATCATTCTAATATGCTGATTTGGTGCTCAAGAAACATTTCTTATTATTATCAATGTTGAAAATTGTTGTGCTTCTTAATATTTTTGTGGAAACTGTGATAAATATTTTCAAGGTTCTTTGATAAATAGAATGAAAAGCATTTATTTGAAACAGACATATTTTGTAACATTATAAATGTCTTTATTGCCATTGCTTAAAAGTATTAATTTAAAAAAAACTTACTGATGTCAAAAAGTTGAATTGTAGGAAGAGTGTACCATGATGTTACTAAATGAGTTAGTTTTATAGCATAACTTCTATACTGTTCACTTTTGTCCCTCTGCTGAAGAGCTTATTTTCTTTTCCTCTGCCAATCTTAGGGCGGCTGTGTGTGACATGACTTTGCACTCACTTGGCAGGTCTGTCTAAACGCAGGTCAATGCCGAACACGACTGCGTCTTCACCAGCGGAGAGGAAAGAGCAGGGAGAGTCTGGCTCCAGTGCAAGCTGAGAGAGAGAAAATAAAATCTTATTTTTCACAAGCATTCACATGTGACTCACTCTTTGAGTATAATCCTTTTTATATGTTGCCCTAAACCAGGGGTCGGCAAGTAAGTTTGGCATCGGGCCAAAAATTTCTCTCAGAACATAGTCAAAGGATAATTTAAGAAATGATTTGATGAAAAAATGCAACTAGAATTGCCTGTGACAGACTGTTACAATGTCTTTTGTAACTAGTAGTGAGGTGTTACTTTGTGTTAAATCCTGTAGTAGGACAGTCATTAACAAAAAGCCACATCTGTGTGGCGGTGTCCGGGTTTTACACTGGATAAATTAATAAAGCAGTAGTGACACGTAAACTGGCGAGCATCCAACTTGCAACACAGACCACCTTGCTAAAACACACATATGTAGGAGATGCGGAATGGATATAACTGTACTAAAAATAACTCAAAAAATAAAAGAGGACTTGAATAAGCCCATTAATGGCATGTTTGAGTCATGCTCTTAACGAACTATGTTTTATTTCCTCTTTTTTTGTAAATAATACATTTGTATCATTTTAATTAGCTTGTTACACAATGGAGCCTAACTTAATGTAATAATTGACATAGCCTACTTTTACACTCAGAATTATTCCTTAGCATCCTCACGTACTAAACTGCATTTTTTTTTATTGTTTGCGTGCTGGAGCACTATTACATCGTGTGCAGTGATGTTAACATTTAAGCTAGCTGGTGAGAGAAAATGGCACTATCAGAGTCTGAAGAGGAAAGTTGACAGCGAAAATAGGGCATACAAAGAAGAATGGAAAGACAATTCCAATTCAGACAATTCATGCGTTCATCCTACCTAGTTTTGTGAATGCAAAGCTGGTGTGTCTTATCTGCAACGAAGCGATCCACAGACTCTTTTGAATGTCTTTCAGAACTTTTCAAATTAAAAGCTCTCATTCATCTCAAACGTTCTCGTACTTTTATTTTGAAGGCAAAATCACTAAAGAAGTAGTGATTGTGAGTAACTGTTGCTGTCATGACAGATCTATTTCAGATGGTTGTATGTTTCAGAACCAGCCGCTATCAAAATAATCTGGCTGCGGGCGTGGGACCGATATTATTGCTGGCGGGCCAGTTTTGGCCGTGTGGCCGACCACTGCCCTAAACCAATAGACCTCAGTTCTGATATTACAAAGAAATATGTTCTTTGGTCTTTGTTCTTGCACCACAGCATATTTGAATGCTTGATTCTGATTGGTTGACGGATGTTTCCAGCTGTTGATAAATGAACGTGTGATTGTAAAGCTCCAACTCTCAAAGATTACACAGGTTTGGTTTGAGGTAACCACTAAAATAACACGAGTCCAGAACAATTTATTCACCCATCAGAATAACAGCCACAACTTGAAACACCTTTATCATTTATTTCAGTCCGTCATCTATTATTCATATCAAATATACAATTAAAAAACTTAAGTATGATCATACCTTATGAGCTGCACCTTTGTGCTGGGCCACTCTTTTGGTGTTCTTGCAACGCTGTGTGGCAGAAAGCTCAGCCACTCTGATCTGTCCATCTCTGGCACACATGGCCAATGTGGAGTCACCGCTGTGTGGGAGGAACTTTGCCTGGGGACAGAATAATAATTAATAAGGAGTGAAGAGGCACTGATTTAAATTTCTACATTTTAAAATCTTCCTCTGGACATCTGAAACTAAGATATTCAGAGGAACTTGAAACCCATTTAGAGGGTCAACACAAAAAGAGGTTTCTGTCCAACATACCCAACATAAATTTAAGAAATCACACATAAGTTGAACAAAATGTATGATCAAGTTAGCCTACAGGACTGGGGCTAAACTATTGATGTGGCATCTGCATTCAGACATCTGCAGTCAGCTAAACTGAGCTTCCTCACCTGAAAGACATTGCTCTTATGTCCGCTGTCAAACTCCAGCTCCGCCTTTCTGCGAGCCCAGTCCCAGATCACCACGCGGAGGTCATCGCTGCCGGATGCCAAACGGGTGCCGGAGGGGTTAAAATGGAGGGTGTTCACGCAGCCTGTGTGTCTCTCCAGACGGCCCTGCAGTTCCAGCCTCTGCACCAGACCCCGCGCCCCACACACCCTCCTCGCAAACTGGTGCGAATCACGGCCGATCTCTCTGGAACGCAGAGAGGGGACTGCGCACCATGAAGGACGACTCAGGTCACACAGATCTGCTCCCAGCCACGCTTCCATGGCTTGCTCGTCTTCTTCCTCCACGTCATCCTCCTCATCTTCTTCATCATCATCATCGTCTGAACTGGAAGAGTGACGTGTGGCACCGCCGCTGGGTCGATTCCTCTTCCTGGCGGATCTCTTACTTTCATCTTTTCCCCTCCCTCCTCCCTCACTCTCTCTCTCTCCTTCTTCTGTGAGAGAGTACAGCCCACTGCCATCCATGCTGTCAGTGTCCTCCTCTTCTCCCAGTTCCTGCTTCTGCTCAGAGTCTGCCATGGGCCTGTCCTGACCACCCTCACTTCCCTCTGGAGCTGAACTTAAATTTGCTGTCAAGAGAAAACTTGAAAAATTGGTGGAGCATTGCTTACATATATCACAGTCAAGGTGATGCTTGGGGTCAGGAAGTAATACTTTTCTTCAGTGAGGATGCATTAAATTAAACAAAAGTGACAGTAAAGACATTTATAATGTTACTAAATGTTTCAATTTCAAAGAAATGTTGTTCTTTTAAATTGTTTATTCATTGTGAAAAAAATTATCACCGTTTCCATAAAAATATTAAGCAGCACAAATCATGAACACCAATTCAGCATATTAGACTGATTTCTGAAAGGATCATGTGACACTGAAGACTGAAGTAATGGCTGCTGAACATTCAGCTTTGTCATCACAGGAATAAATTACATTTTAAAATAGAAAACAGTTATTTCAATTGTAATAATATTATTTAACAATATTACTGTTTTTACTGTATTTTTGATTAAATAAATGGGTATAAGAGACTTACTGACCCCAAACTTATGAACAGAAATGTGTATGACAAAGTTTGGACTTTGTTTCCATACCTGACTCAGGGCTGGTTTGGGTCTCTGGCGCTGCAGATGTATCTGCTTCCCCTCTTCCTTCTCCAGGATCTAGATCATCAGAACCACCTGGTAAATTAAGCCCCAGACAAAAAGAATTAGCTGCATTTGCCATCTCTCTTGCTGTATTGACCCCATTTTATTTTCTTTCTTCCATGAAACACAAAATGAGATGTTATGAATATTGTCAGTGCTACTATTGACCATAAAACAGAAGTGAATGCTGACAGTAAAGCACCATAAAAGTAATAAAAATACAGCAGCAAAATACAGCTACAACAGAGAGGGGAAGATAATCAGTTAATAATGACTGAAAAGTTGGTCTATTTCTCACACAAAGTTATTATAAGATTTCAGAAGACAGACTATTTTTTACAATATTATATGATGATAACATGGCAGTATAAAACAATGTTTACTGTCCTCATACGGAGAATAGGGCATTCTGTCTAAGATCTTCTTTGATATTTCACTCAGAAAGAAAACAGTATGGGCTTGTAACTCCGCATGGACATCATTTTCAGTTTTGGGAGAACTATTCCTTTATTAAGACAGTAAACTGAAAGCTAAAACAAGTTGTTTACTCACCATTTGGGACACTGGATTTGCCGTCTGTATCGCTCATTCTGTCTGACTGTCTCTTCTAACAGAAGAGACCCTGAAGAAATAAAAGAGAAGAGAGCTTACTTCAATTACACTGGATTATGTTAAGACAATATATTTTACTTACAACTTGATTGAAATGCTTGAAAGATCATTTAACATTGGTATATCCTATAGTCAATGATTACTAGAGTCCTAATCAAAATGCATGTCTTCAAACCGATGAACATAAAAAGACATCATTGCCATTTTGACACATTTAAAAGGTGCTGAGCCCTCAGATTGACCCAGCCAGTGAACTGACAGGATCCCTGACATCAGCTAAAGGTGGCAAAATAAGCCTGCTTGCATGGTAAATAGCTGGCATGGTAAACACCTGCCTCTAATCGCAATACCCATACCATTATCTTGTACAGTAACAACTGGGTCCAACTGCAAACGACACTTACATAGCAGCTTGGTACTGTTCGTGCATTAGTTGCAATGCCACATAACAACTTGACAGTGCGCAGTAAACTGGCAGCGACTAGCAAGTGTGCTAACTAATCTTAGCAATTGCTTTTGTGGTATTACCCATGTCAAAAATAGAAAAGCTGCTAGGTACTTTTGCAAGCACGCACGGCTCTTGGCAGTCAGATTGTAGCTCTTCGGTTTTGAACAAAGAGAGATATGTTATCAAGATTACAAAGACGTACCGACGAGTAAATATTGTGTAAGGAGAAGTGCAGGAGAAACACGAGTTCATAGCGTCAGCAATGGCTCTGTTATGAGTGCTGGCTCAAGCTGACAACATGTAAACATTGGTCGTAGCGAGAAAATGGAGAGCTAACTACCGAGCGGTGTTACCTCTGCTGTAGGCCCAAAGTCTCCGCACTTGTTAATCCTCTGCGCAGATTTCCTTCCTTCACCTTCGAGTCACGCGCAAACAAAAGCTCGACACATTAGGGAGATGTGCCCTGAACACACTCATGCACGGGCGATCCAAAAACCACCGCAGTTTAAGGTCACGTTTTTGGTCGTGCCCGCAGTGTTTATGTTTTGACTGATCTCCTTCGTTAGCACTTCTGTTTTTTCCCCTTTCTCTTTCCTTTTTTCTATCTTTCTTTTTCCGGCAAGACGATCGTTCTCCGGAAGTTGGTCTGGATCCACAAACAAAGCAGCGCTTAATATTACAGTACACACTGAAATTTGTGATACTGATAAATTATGTTCACGCTAAAAAGCACTCACGGATTTTTTGTTGTTGTTGTTGCTCTGAATATTGATTATGACCACGCCATTTGGTATATTTATAATGATAATAATGATAACAAAACGCAACATTTTATTGTTATTATTAGTAATAGTATTAATAATAATTATTAGTAGTAGTATTTGTAGTATTATACCAATTGCATATTCATCATAAGTCAAAAAACAAAATAAAAAACAACTGCCTATTTATACAAGTAAAAGTATAGACCAATATCCATATCTAAAAATATTTGGATTAATTAATGATAATAATCAAGAATGCAAATAATAACAACAATAATAACGAGCATTTCATAATATTTTGAAAATAATTACAAAAAGTATTATTATTATTATATAGATTCATCATCAGTAATGAAAACAAAACAAAAAACAACAGTCTGTTTATACCCTAGACTGTAAAAAAAAAAATAGGGTACAAGTACAAATATGACCCAATCTGACTATATTTAATCAAAATATTATTTTGATTAATTAATGATAATAACAAAACATGCAAATAATAATAATAATACATTCAATTAATAACTATTTCAATTTAATAATATACAAATGGAATATATTTAAAAATAAATATAAAATAATTATATTATTTTATATACAAATATACATACAAAATAATATATTCAAAATAAAAATTATATTTATTATTATTATCGACTTTCCGGGTTTCTCCGACGGAGAGACTAAATTAAAAAAAAATGTGTTCCCATTTTGCTCAAATAGCAAAAGAAAAACTCCACATGTTTTCACACCTTTCAAAAACAGTAAAAAAAAAAAAAAAAAAAAATTACAGAGAGAGGTCAGAGGAGAGAATGATGTAAAGGTAATGTAATACTAAGCATAGTGTAATACATTTACATACATTTTAAAATAACATAATATAAAAAAACTTTTTTTTAAAATTGATAACCTTCTGATAATCATTTTTTTTAAATAAACTTTATTTGAACTTTCAGTTTACAGTGTGAAACAACAAAATTCGAACACAACAATAAGTATTAAGAATATCTTACAAAACTTTGCAGGATTTACGATGCTGATGACCGTTAAAACGCGTCATCAAAGTCTGTGAAAAGGCCTGAAAACCATAGACTGTAAAAAAACGAGAGAGAGAGAGAGAGAGAGAGAGAGAGAGAGAGAGAGAGAGAGAGAGAGAGAGAGAGAGAGAGAGAGAGAGAGAGAGAGAGAGAGAGAGAGCGAGCGAGCGAACAGGGGCGTGTGTTTTTTCTAGAGGAGAGCTGGATATAGTCATCTGCATAATATTCTCGGTTCCGTTGTTCTGACATATTTTCAAAGCACTCTGACCAAAAAAAGGAGGGAAATTCCGATTATATTTCTTAGAGGCTTTAAAATCACGCTACAAATTAAACCGCGAACCGAAAAGGACATTTTCTCAGAAAGAACTATGAGTGAGGTGAGTTCTCATTTGTTATTTTAAGACTGTCTGATAAACCCTACTAACTTAAAAGTTAATTCGAAGATTTATATAATAACATAATATGAATCTAGGACGTCCAATTCAATGTAAATGCTTTCTTTGTTGAGACAAAAAAGGATTAAATCATTTAAAATCCTCTGAATCATGCAAGTTGCATTAAAGATGGCTTAACGTTAGCTGTAACCCACCTCTAATTTCTCGTCAGTAAAGATGAGAAATATATCCCTTTCTTTATAGGGTAATATGTATTGTTCTTTATGCAATGCATATTACAGTGCGCTCTACTCAATGAGGAAATATAAATCTTTAGATTTCCCTAGTTTAAAATTAAAGTGATGCTTTACATTCGTTTGTGTGTGTGTGTGTGTGTGTGTCCCATTAATTGGCAATTAATAAGTGGCTCAGGGGAGCTTGACCTTGCTGATATGAGCTTGGCTAATTAGCAGATGGAGATTGTGCCGTGAGGCTTGTGTGTATCAAGTGATGTGTGAGAGTGAAAATAAAGTGCTGTCTGAGGTAATGTAGAAGAGAAAAAGTAATGCCTAACACACTGAGAGCCAGCTGGCAGCATGCGGGATCTTTCTCTCTCCCCCCCCTCATCATGATGTCTTTTAAGTGTGAAAGCCAGAAGTGTGAAGTCTTACCTCCATAATACTCATATGACCTACTTTTGGCAAATTAAGAACAAAACAGAATGGCATGCATGTACACACAAAAAAAGCCATCTCTTGAGACAAAAGTTGTCGTTTTTATACTCAAAGAGATTTTATCTGACAGCTCACAGAATGTGGTGGTTAGTGCATTAAAACTTACTGGAGAGAGGAGGCTGAGGCTGGTTCAGAGTTCAGAGTATAAGGTGAAGATGCTCTTTCATTCCAAAAAAGGCTTAACGGGGAAAGGGCTGCAGCGATTTGCATTTGAAAGAGTCCCTTGCCGTGAGAGAGAGTGAATAATATGTGTATATGTGAGTGTGTGTGTGTTCATGTTCCATTTCATCTCCCTTGATGACATTTTCTGTTCTCAAAAGAAAACATGTGAAGTATTTACAGTATATCAGCAGCTTCAAGCAAATATCACAGTGTTTCTCAGATTTAAATGACAATTCATTGCTGAAATTACACATTTAAAAAGGATTTACACAAAAATAAATGAACACAAACTGACACATTTTGGATGTCAATGTGAATAACTCAAATCTAGGGCATCATCTCAAGGCTAATTTGTTCTCATAATTGAAAAAGCAAGGTCACAGATATACTGAATGTATTTTGGCCTTAAGTAGTTTACACTGTGTGCCTCGGAAACATAAACATTTAATAAGCCCGTACTTCAACTATCAAATGTGAACAGGGATGAATTCATTTAAGAAATATATAACATATAAAGTACACACACACACACACACACAGTAAGCTTGTATGTCATGGGGATCCTCTCCAGGGCTGAGTGCCTCTGTTCCAGATTGCACACAGAATTGAAAAAGGGGGATTAAACCGATGGGGATTAAGGGGTCTTTATCGCTCGGTGTCCTAACACACGCATGATAAAGCCCATATCAGGTTTTAATTTGATGGCAGACCAAATAAAAAATTCACAGCTGTGATTTTAGTTTTTACTGTATGTCTGAATGCTCTCACAATAAACCTGAAAGCCGCTGCCTCTTTCTTGCAGAACAGTTCATCTGATCCTCCCAACAGCACTCAGGGGCCTGCCACAGATGGAAAAGGTGTGTTTATGTGTTCCATTACAGCATATTTAAATTTTTCATGATTTAAAACTCCTTCACATTTTGTTCTCCACCAAAACTGTCCAGTTAAAGTCACGTTTTTGTAGGCCAATGTGGAAGTTAGCATCATCATCCTTGTTCCCTCAACAAAACCAAATAGGATTTTTCCCTTTGGCTTTAGGATAGTTGCAGAAAATAAGCTCCGACCAACAGAACTTTAATGAATTTTGAAGCCTAAATACAATCACCAGAAGTAAAAAGCTAAACGTATGTTATAAACGGACTACACCATGGTCACCACCATTAAGCTCCATAAAAAATTAAGAATAGTTTGCAAGAGCGTGAATAATAAACACAACGAGGCTGTAAAAGCAGCCTATAGTGAGTAGATACGTTTTTCGTCTTGATGACGTTTAATGTTCCCGACAACCTCTGTAGTCCCATTCACTTGACAAGTAAAAGCTTTAAAGAAAAGCACAAGTGTTACTGAATGTATTTTATGTCAAAGTATAAAATGTGAAAATATCTTGAGCACAGAACACAGACATTATTTCAGGCATTTAATCAAACACCCATTTAAAAAACCCATTGACTTTGGGAAGTGCTAAAATACTCGTTTCTGGGTGGTCTACAAAAAATACATCATACTTAAATTACTCATATTTGTCTCTGAAAGCTGAGATACAAGAAAACTTTTTAACATCGAAACAAATAGACATCTAATTTTGAATCATGAAAATGCACTGTACTGCTAAAAGATATTAGAAAAAATACATATTTTAAAGTTCTGTGGTATGAAAATGTAAACAATTGCTGTAAGTATATTTATAACAATTAACATAATTTAAGACCTGAATTGGGACGCAGACACACAGTGGCTTCACAAATGTAAGAAATATTGCAGTTCCTTTTACTATGCCATTAATGTTGTCAATGTTTGCGTGTCATGTGTCCCTCAGCCGCCCAGGAGAAACCGGCGGACAAAGAGGGGAAGCCCCCTACGCAAGAACCCGAAGAAGAGATCGACATTGATCTGGAGGCGCCAGAGACAGAGAAAGCAGCTTTGGCAATACAGAATCAGTTTAGACGCTTCCAGAAGAAAAAGAAGTAGAAAAGGGAAGCCTGAACAAGAGAATCGGTGGACAAAAACGCCTTCCACAATATTCACTATGGAAAGAGAATAAACAAAGAAGAGACAGAGGAAAGTCAAGTGTGGGTGGGAAATTAGGGGTTTGGAAAACAAATGATAGCCCTGTGGCATCAACATGCTGGGTAGATTAGAGTTTAGGACATAAGAATAGGGAAAGATTTTCACTTTAAAAGACTTGGAAGATTCTGTTCTCACTATATTTGCCTAGATTCGTCTCCATCCTTCTCCTCTCCTGTAGACATAAATATAGGAACGTCAGTTACATGTGCAACACACATCTGTCATTTCATGTATTTAGAATCATTGATGCAACAGAACAAATGTAAGTGATATTAAACTTAAGAATTCAAAGGGCAGTAAATGACCAAATGTTGCACTGCACTTACAGTAAAACATGTTGGCGTGAATCAGTATTATAGATATGAAGTAGCGTAGTTGTAAATCTATTCTTAGAGTAGGCTGTTCATTTTTTTTTTTTTGTTCAAGTGACAAGTGATTAAAAAAATTAAGAAATCTTCATATCAACAGCAGACCAAATAATGATTATTTAATAACAGAAAAAATATCATAACCTGACATTCTCAGAAGAATTAGCAATAGCAATATCTTGCATATTTATGTATTTTGGACAGGGATTTAATCAAGACACACTGAAGTTTAAATTCAATAGCTTGTAATTTTTTTAATTAGCCCTATTAAACTAGGCAAATGGCCTTGAAATACATGTAAAATGGGCAAGTTTAACATTCTATTCAGTTAACTGTAAATTGCTAGCTGAATTTAGCACAAGGTCAAGAACCTTTTAAATCATGTCATACTCACTTAAATGAGCATAAATTCCTTTAATTTTTGCTTCAATGCCAGAAGTCACTGGCATGCAGTGAGATCCTTGAATTTTTGGAGACTGGTGACTCAAATGAAGATGATTATCAAGGAAAGTGTAACATTTTGATCTATTTTAAGTGTCTTTATCTTTCTCCTTCCCCTATAATTAAAGTGGTCTCCACAGATATCTCAGAATAGCTCGAAAAAATTAGAGCAGTATATAGAGACTCATGATTATCTTGCAGTTAATGGGACAAATGATGTCTGTAATTGCATTGAGATAGGTGTGATGAAAATGTCATCTGTGCTTGACCGTTTTCAGATAACCACTGGCAAGGCAATTATTGAATACATCTGTTATTATTCTGTACATTTTATATCAAGTAGCCTATGACACACTTCACTGTTAGACAGACATTTATCTCCTCCTGTATTGCTCTGTACTTCTTTTCTTCTCTCTCTCTGTGTGCTCATGTGTGCTTGAGTGCTCTATCCTACACTTGTTTCTTTTTTTCAGTGTGACTCATTGCTTCAATAGAAAGAATTGTATGTCCTGACCTGAATTGTATGTACTAAGGGCAGTAAGTAGAAGATGGTTACATAAAGTGAAGAACATTATATAACATTAGTTTGCCTTTTCTCCATTAAACATATTGAGTTTTCAATGTAAATGCATATTTCAACTACAATAATTATTGCTACTCTTCCAGTCTAGCATTTTTTTAACCTTCGATCTAAAATAGTTAATGCAGGAGTAAAGTGAAATGAATGGTAAAAAAAGTAATTATTGGATGTTCCCACTTACTTGTCGTTGTCTATAACCAAAAATAGAAAGCGTTTTATACCTAGTTTTATATAGCTAAGTTTTATTGTTGCTGTCCCTTAATGAAGTACAGTCAATAGTTACATAATTAAATCATTTAAAGAATGCACGTTTACTTGTGTTTGGTGCTGATATGTGTAGGACAGGAGGTGAATGGCGTCATACAACCTAAAATCTTGCAAGAGGAGATGATGACGCCTGATACTAGTCTGGTAGTGTTTAAAAACTATAATAACCTATACTATTATTTGAACAGCAGAGGGCAGTCTCTTTCTATCAATCTTAGGCAGTGTTGCCAAGTCCGTGGTTTTCCCGGGAATTGCAGTAGCACCTCATTGCAGTACACGAGATCCAGGGGGCGGAGTTGGATCCAGATCTAAGGGGTGGAGATGAGTAGGATTAGGGGTGGGGTTAGGGATTAGAGGGTGGAGATGGGAGGGGTTAGGGATCAGGGGGTGAGGTTAGGGATCAGGGGGTGGAGATGGGTAGGTTTATGTATATGTGGTGGGAGGAGTTGGATCTGGATCCAACTTCTCCCCCTGGATTTCGTGTTCTGCAGTGAGGACCATCTCGGGAATTGGGCTACTTTTAAAGGTAGGGTAGGTAATTTTGGAGAGACTAGCAATAGAGTGGTGCAGGTATGACTTCAGAACCGAGAAGTCTAATTCGCCACTGGTTCCTTCAATATTTTCCTATGGGGTTTTATAATGGGGGTTTTCAATTTATGAGTAAAATAAAGCCTGTGGTAAACAACTTGACAGTACTTTGACGTTTTGTTCTACAAATTAGTCTTCCGGGTTCTGACGTCATACCTGCACCAATCTATGGCAAGCTAGCTTTTAAAGCATAAGATCCTTTCCCATCTCCCTTCAGAGCGCTCTCCAAAGCCCACACCTCCTCCAAAACACATGAACGCACACAGCTAGTGCAGAGTCTGCAAATTTTATTTTTATGCATTGCATAAATCCATAGAAAAAGAACCATACAAAACATTTTGTGGAAAATTGCAGTCAAAGAATTAAAAAATATGTACAAAAAAAAAAAAAACAGAACATGTCACAAATATATTACAACTATGATGCATAAAACCCAGCATAACTTTTTTTTTTGATTTAGGGAGCAGAGGGGATGAAATAGGATCAGAATCCAAAGGTATGACACCTGTATGTCCCAGAGTTAAATCCACAGTATTTAAATGCTTTTTTACCTACACTTCATCTTTAGTGCACACTGCCAGCACTGGTTTAAGGTTTTTCATTAATGTTAAGTCACAAAAGAATGCTTCCCATATATAATGCTGAGGAACTGAAACAAACAAATTTTTTGTTTGTGTGTGTTCAAAACCACACCAGAGAATTCTGAAAATCTCAATTATAGGCTACAGGTCGCGGTTATCAGGTTGAGAATAAAGTTTCTGACTCAACCCTTATACTGTCAGTCCAGATTCTTAGACCATTACACTGGTTTGCTTTTTTTCACACTAATTCTCTAGAATTTATTTATACTGCTTGCAAGACAAGACTGTCCTGATATACCTTAAACATCAAAGTTTAGTGGTTTGTTCTAAGCACACAACTAAATATAGAAATTAATTTAGAAATTTTCTTCTGCATATACTGAATTGTGATCGCCATATATTTAACAGTTTCAGGTTAAATTACAGTTTCCATTTTGATCCTTGTGTGTAGCACACAGAAAACAAAATGCATACATGTTTCATAATTTGATTTAGACAGAATCAGAAGCCTAAAACATAGTATTACTTAAAACTTAAACATGAATCTGGTATTTACTCCTGGTAATGCAATAGTTGTTTTTCTTCCTCCTCTCTCTTACTTCTCAATATTACTGTATCCCATCACTTTTTTGTGTTTGCTTGAAGAATACATGAGGGTTTCTATACTTCTTATCTTCCTTGTGTTCACTTAAATGATCCCCTTTATGTCTCTTTAACCCAGATGTGTTCAGTTCCTCTTATAATCTGTGATCAGACCCCTGTGCCAAGTCTTCTTTTTCTTCATTCTAAATCTTTCCACTCCAGATAAACTTCATTATTCCTCTTCATTTTTGTTTCTTTCCACTTTTCCTTCCTTTTTCCTTTCAAATGTTTGAATTTGATTTGCCAACCATCCTGCTTTAGTTGTTTCCATATGTTAGCTCACTGTTAAGACTTTTTTAATATCGTTTTTATAATTGCTTTTTGCTCTTTGACTACTCATTTCTTTTTTGTGGTCTCTTTGTTCATTTGCTCCGGTGTAGTTTTCTGGTCAAGTTTTGCCTCCAAATGATCAAGTTCTTGCTCAAGTAGAGCCAGTTTAATAGGATCTGACTCACATTTGTCTTCATCCTCCTCCTCTTCTTCATATTCTTCCACTTCAATTCCATCCATGGTCTTTTGTAGCTGAGTCTTCACTTTGTTTAGTTCCAGCAGGCCGTGTTGAAGCTCTTTGCATACTTCTCGGATCTTGGAGGCAAATTTGGTCTTGGCACCTTTGCGGAGTTCATTAGAGTCTTTGGCAAGAAAAAAGACATCCAGGGCAAGAAAGAGAGTGGACATGACCCCTGTGGTGATACTGATGGCCTTGGCGGCTTTGGCAGCTCCTCCAGCAACACCTAAAACTTTCACAGTGCTGATAAGCCTATCAGTGTTAATCATGAGGGCTTTACCTGCTCGCCCACCTTCCTTCATCACATGCTTTATGTTACGGCTAAGTCTCGTGTTGACCACACTCTCAGAGTACTCCTTAAAATCCCATTCTTGCAGAGTGTTCATTCCTTCCTACATACACAACAGACACAATCACAAGTGAGACAGACAGACAGATAGACAGATAGATAGACAGATAGACAGATAAACATACTTGCATGAATTCCAGACAATCTCTGATGTCATTGATCTCATCCTGGTAGCCCTGGATCATCTTCTCCACCTTCTTGCGGTCCATTTTGGATTGAACCGCATCAGTGATGTTAGCTGTGGCTGAGGTGATGCTCCCAGCTGTTGCCACACTGATACCCACCGCAGTAACGATAGTAGAGGTGCCAAAAGTGAAGGGTGCCAATATGAGGCCGGTAATGGTGGCTATGCCCCCAGCCACACAAGCCACACCCCCTCCGACAGCTGCGCTCACGGTCTTCTTATGGAAGCTGTCAGCAGTGTCCGCTAGTGCAAGCAACTCTACAATGCGACGTTGCAGAGAGGCTCCACGCTGGTTGAACAGACTGACAAAGAGACGGGCTGCCATAAACACACGGTCTGCAACAGCCTCAACAGCCCTAAGAGACAAACATTAACAAAACAGATCAGTGGTCATAGGAGCCAATTAGACAGTTTTTTTTTTAAAAATCCACATTTACTCACAGCTCCTCCTTATCCTCCTGAAAATTTGCTGTTTCATTCCATTCAGTCCAACCTGTCAAAATTCAGTAAGTCATATGAAATTAGTGAGGACAAGTAGTTCATCATTATTTTATATTTTTAGCAGTGCACAGCTACAAACACAACATGGTTGTTATAGGCCAATGCATCATGTCTTCTACTGTTTTTTAGTATTCTGTCATTAAGACATGCTTTTTAAGACGCTGTATTAAGTTTCAAATGGTTAAATTTATACAACGTACTGTAGTATTACATTGTGCTCTGTGCAGCTGAACATGTCTTATGTAAATCGCTGAGTTTTGCTGATGATACATGTGTATTCTTTAGTTTTATGCCTGCGGTAATTATGAATCATTATCATGTCATCATTGAGTATCAGACATTGTCACCTTGAGGAATAAAGGTGAATTGCACTTATTGAGTCATCAGAGATTCAATTCTTTGTGAGAAGGACCTGGCTGCAGCCTACAGAATGGGGCGGGGCTTGAATGTCTTGCTCCGCCCCATACTTACTCTGATTGGCTCTGTCGTCTTTCATAGGCATACTGTCACATTATGTTCAGTTAGTTTCATTATCATGGACTTTTAGTTTGTTTTCATGTTCATCATGTGTTCCTTTGTTCAGTTTTCCTGCTCCTCATTATTAGTTCATATGTGTCAGCTGTGTTCTATTAATCATCCTCATTTGTGTTTGCTATATAAGTTGGTCCCTCACATTCATTCTCTGTCTGATCACCGTTACCCTATGTGTGTGTGTTACCCTGCTTGTTTGCATGCCTTATTGATAAGATATTTATTATTGAATATCGTGTTGGAACTTACTTCTTCTGTCTTCCTGCAACCACACGTGACACATACATGTGTTCAGAGTTGTCTTCACTATAATGCACTGACAACATTCTTAATATTAATGTTTAATGTAAAGACAACATTAGCCTACATCCTACAATGGCAAGAGAAATTAAGGTAACACTTTAGTTCAGAGTCCTATTCCCTGTATTAGCATGCATATTACTAGGATATTAGTAATTATAAAGCATATATTAATGCCTTATTCTGCATGACCTTATTCTACATTCCTAATCCTACCCAATACCTAAATGTAACAACTGCCTTACTAATTATTAATAAGCAGTAATTAGGAGTTTATTGAGGCAAAGGTTGTAGTTAATAGTTAGTTAATAGTGAAAATTGGACCCTAATCTAAAGTGTGACAGAAATTAATTATGAAATGTTTATTCGTGGTGGGCGGTGTGCACAAACCCTGTACTTAAGTTCAAATAGAGTACACTAATAAAATATTACTCCAGTAAGAAAGGTTTGTAATGCGACACAAAAAAGATAGACCTAAAATAGGCTAGAGCTCAGACTGATATTATTATGAATTATTAGGAGCACACTTGATCTGAGATTACTCCTGGATATTGCTCATTTGAGCAGGACAAGACCAAATCAAGTGTTTGTTGTTCACTTGACTCGCTTGTTAACCACTGCAAGTTCAATCTCACAAATGACACATTGAATGTTATTGATTGAAAAGAATCAGCTCAAAAGATCTTTAACATATTTTTAATTTCCTTTCTCATACTATGGTGATATAAAGTAATCACATTTTATGAATCATTTAATTCATATTTCATACCTCTACCTGAAGACCTGACCCTCCACGTGTGGATAATCAACCAATACATTTTGGTTAAATGTTGTGGGGTTGTTCATGCGTTAGTCTAAAGACCAGCTCAACTCAGCAAAACAATAATTTCAGGGAAAATTCAAAATACAGGCTAATGCTTTTTTTTTGTGCATTCTGAAGGCTTTGTGAAACTCCACAGCTTTTTCAGTTCATATAAATTTGAATGACATATACTCCGTCCTACACCGACTATGAACACATTTCCTATCATGTATGCTTAGGAAAGACAATCGAGCCAATCAGAGTAGGTATGGGGCGGAGCGACACGTGCAACCCCGCCCCGTTCTGCTGGCTGCAGCCAGGTGTACTTGATTGTTGTTGTTGCACAGACAAAATACATACCTCAGGTCAATAGAGACCCTATACACAAAATTACTTAGAAAACAGACATTCTTTTATAATTATTTTCTTATTATATTGTTTATAATACACCGATTGAGGAATACAAATACGGTTGATGTATAACTTTAAAAAAAAAAAGGGTAGTGAATGACGTCCTAGGTCAATAAAGACCCGATGTTTGCATTTAAGGGTTAAACAGTATAGCAGAATAGTCTTCAAGGAAACCCATGACCAACAAATTAGGAAAATATGTAGTTTTTCACATTCATATTGTGTTTAAAATTTTTACACAACTCACCCTCAACAGTTTTCCACCAGTCCATCAGGCCATCATCCTATTAACAGAGAGCAAGAAAAAAAAAAAAGGTTAAAACTGATTTCAGTCAAATTTAACATTAATATATATATATATATATATATATATATATATATATATATATATATATATATATATATATATATATGCATGTATGTATATATAAAACAATACAAAAAAATAATATACCTCATCTGCCTCAAAATAATTTAAATCTGTTGGATAGGCAGCCATTTCCACTGGCAGGATTTCAAATGTACAGTCCTATAACATTCAGAGAATAAGATATTATACAAGTATTAAGTGAAGCCATAATGTGATATCGATGCACCATAGAAGCAACATAATAATTAGCAATTATAACTCATTGCAATTACAACTCACCTCAGTTGTCTGAAGATGCTGTATTTCCATCGGCACCTCAATTATATCTTTTTGATCGGAACACTATAGAAAGATTTTATAGTATGACAATTTTTTTGATGTAAACTATTAAATTATATATATATTTTTAAAGTGTTATATTACCTGTATACTGGGTGAAAATGTTGACATTCTGGGTAGAGTTCTCTTCACTCTAAATGATAAAACCTGAAAGGATGCGAACAGCAAAGAAGATTAAGCAGAATACAGTATGTGAACTGACTCTAAATAATTTCAAGTGCAAACAAAATTCCACAACTGTTTGTGGCATTATGATGAAAATGATCATCAGTTACTGTATATGTGTAGTTTATTGTACTGATGGACTTCTATTTCCTACAATATTCCCCACCTGTGTATACCGAAGCGAAAACAAGTGATCCTCACCTTGGTATTACTGTCAGAGAGTTCATTATTTTCCATGCATTTTCTGGGCACTGCAATAGATTTCTAGGACATAGAGGAAACAGTTCAACATTTGTGGCAGGACTTCATTTACTTTGCAGGCAACTTAAGATCATTACCGATTTGGTAAAGTACCTTTTCAGTGCCAGTGTCCAAGAAGCTATAATCCCAGTCAATACATTTACTGTGCTCACTTAGTGGATCCTACATATAGAATTAACTGTCATTTTAATTATATAAAATGGTTCAAAAGTACATGATAATTGTAAAGATTGTAAACAATATAAAAATACAGCAATAAAAGGGGGAAGCTGTGTTACCGTCTCAGCAGTGAAACGTAATGCCGGTTTTGGAGAACTGTGGAAAGTTCCACTAAGCTTCCCTGAGTTATCCTGCACAAAGGGGACAGTAATTGTGAATAGCAGATGACTAAGCAATTACATATATTCTATTGTATACAATATAAAGGGCAGTGATACGCACCTTTAAGTTATTAGAGATATATAAGAGATCGTCATTACTGGCCAGCAGTTTAATGTGTAATGGTGGGCTGTCCTACAAGAAGAAAGCTTGTTACTACTGTGCATTATCACCTGGAAGGTAATACACACTACCTATAAAGAAAATAGACATTAATATGCTAATTATTTTGTTGTTGTTGTAGAAACATACCTCTCCAGACGTGTCCTCAGTTCCTCTAGGAAATGTTTGGAGAAAATTAAACGGGGAATTTTCCTCCTAAAGAAATTAATCTGAGAATTAGAATTGCATTTTGCATTTTGTTTGACTTTGAATTCATGATATATGGTACCACTGAACCATTTTTCAATGCTGTTTCTACCTGTAAATGGACAGCAAATCTTCATATTACAAAAAGCTAAACAAATTATATCATAATTTAGACAGTATTGCTGTATAAATGTAAACTTTAAGACATTTATATAATAATAAATGACTGCATGAACAAGGCTGTAGTTTTTTCCACACCTTAGTGTTGTTGTTTTCTGTTTGGTTGAGATTACCGGCTGAGAGTTCTCCATGTTGTAATGATACTTCTTCCTGTCAAGAAAGAAAGAGGAAGGAAACACCAGACACGGTATGTGTGAGCTAAACCAAAATTGCAGGTAGCATTATTCTGTGTAATGTGTAACATCAAAGCATGATTTTTACAGATTGTGGACACAGGGTGGACCACCTGAGCTTTTGTGGTGTCCTTAGAGAAGCCTAATCCAAACCTATTGTGTCATTACAAAAGCTGTGATTCACATTGGACGTTAGGGTTAAGTTGTCAAGTTATGTAAAGTGTAATGTAATTACAACAGACCTTATTGCTGTGTTGGTTGGACAGACTGTCAGTGGTGGCAGTGAAGCAATCCTGGGGCAAACGGAAAGATAATCAGATATATATCAGATAATGATCAATAGCTCAAAGTGTGTATGCAACTCTAAAGGCAAAAATCTCATTTGATCATGGATTTCCTATCCTGAGTATTTGGATGATGTATGAGCAAATTCACTGAGGAAATATCTTGCCTCCCCTGGTGGTAAAAGAGGATACACTATCATGGCCTAACAGTAGCTGTGTGATGCAATGATAAAAAAAATAATGTGTGTCTGCAATGCATAATGAGACACAATGGTTGCAAAATGTTTTTGGACACCTGAACCAAACTTAAAAATACATAAATTTGACTGTTAGACAATGGATGTTAGCAACATTTTGATACCTCAATGATGTTCAATTTCATGGTCAGGCCATTTACGTAAATTACACTATGAATTTGTTATTTCAACTAGCATCTGTAAATCAACAGACTGTATAAAATAGCTTCAAGTGTCTGTCATCAATAAACACATGTTCTACCTCTTGTGCAGGAAGACTCGTCAACTTTTTAGGAGTTCTTTTAAACAACTGGCTGAAAACAGCAGCTTTCCCCTAACACAAAGAAAATGTACATTCTACTAACATTTTCATTGTAAAAAAGAAACATTAAAAACAATGAAATGGATATAAATATACACCATGTATGATAAAAGTCAAGAATATCATTTGATGACCTTAGGGTTGTTGTTGTCTGGTTGTTGATCATTGAGAGCCGAGAGCTCACTCTCAGTTAGCATGTTCTGGGAAAAGATGGAAACTGATTATTCTCAGAAAAATACCATTGCTATATTTATATCATCTACATACTACAATAATAAATCAGAATCTTCCTTTTTTACAGTCTGTCTATATTCCAAAATGTTACCAAAAAAAGCAGAGTCAAAATGGTATTCTGAGAAATCAAACTATAACATCAACTCTAAAAGTGCATTAAAGATAGAACATACAATTAGAAACTGACCATAATTTTGCTGTTCTCTAACAGACCGTCATTATTGCCAGTGATTCGACCATGCACAATATTATCATCCAGAGAGAAAAAAAAAGGTCAACTAACCATTGCAAATGAAAGCACAGATATTACAGAGAGTCAGGCTAATTACCCTAGCGTGAATGCTTGCAGTTCCTACACCCTTAAACATGTACCGTCTCGCCTCAGATGAGTGCTCAGCTGCGTCTGATCGCCTGGACATTGAATCTACTTTCTCCTTTAGCACAAGCAGCAGAGACAAAAACACACAGCAATACACAAACAGTTATAAATGTGGCTGCAAAACATTTATTTGAGTATTTAACTGTGTGACACAATGACACATTGCTCACCTGAATAATATTCCTCTGAATCATGTCACTGTGTGTCAACTTCACCTATATAGGAATATTCACTATTACTTACAACTCAGTTTGTGTGTCATCCTTTTAAAAATATTGTGCACTAAAATGAACTTGAAGACACACTGCTTCTGATTTAACATTTTCTGAACAGATAATCTTATTTTGTCCTGAAAACTAAAGTAATCCTATTTAGAATCATTCTTTAATATTGTGCCAGATTTTTTTTGCAACATACAGTCTGTTAATATCTCACATTCACACCTAAACTAATAAAATGGGGATTCAGCTCCAGACATGTTTTCAGTGGTTCTAGTTCATGACTTCCTTGTTCATATAAATCTATATTTAATCTATATGTTCTTTTATGCTTGCTTTTTCTTTCCTTTTTATTCATTTAAAAAAAACAAAACAAAAAAAAAACTTTTTTTATAATCTTCATGTTCTTAATTGATCGTAATTGTACTTTTTTAACTCTCTTCTTGGACACTGAAATATCATTGTGTATAGATGTACTATACAAATAAACTTGCCTTGCCTTTTCATGTCACAAAATGTAGGGTTGTGGGACGCTGGAGCTTAAAGGCAGGGAAACACCTTGGACGGATGCCCAGTCCATCACAGAGCTAACACACAAAGACTCACACCCTCAAATAATTGAATGACTCCAATTATGTGAAAATCGAATTAATGTATTATTTTAAAATGCCATAGCCAACCTGATGGCAATATTAAAGCAACCTCTTTAGTGAGCATATAGAAACCTTTTCACACTGCTCATTCTCTCTCTTCATCTTGACTAATTCTAAATTATCTACAGAAAAAATGCAAGTATTAATTATTTATAATTTAATTTTATTACAATTATTAATATTTCTTCAAATTAATTTTAAAATTGCCAAATATTTAAATAAATTATTTTAGCATCGTCACCATGGAACTGAAAAAAATATTTAAAATATTACTTATTTTTTCATGTGACTGCTTCCTTACCTCATTTTAGCGTAGGGGAGGTCTGAGCTTCTGCTTCAGTTTTCCCTCTGTAGTCTGATTAACCACTGCACTTCTCCATTTCCAACTATATAAAAAAAAAACAAGTTTGCACAATGTATGTATCATATAGAAACCAAAATGATGAATATTGAAGCGTTTCACACGCAACACTGCGCCTGAGAGTACTGTAAAACAAACTTAAAAGCGGCAAACAATGACATCATTCATGATCACAAACAACAGCAAACATTATCACCAGTGTCAACGCCTCGGGCTCACGACGCTTCATTAGTTATTTGCTAGGATGCACTTTTTATGCTATCGTTTTTTTAATAAGCAACAATGTAGATTTCTTTTTCGATACTGACATTCCGTTGTTAATGTGGATTTTTCTAGTCTGAGGCAAAGCGTCTGATCTAGTATGACACATTGCGCGTGCGAGCCAAACAGGAAGCTTGACTTTACCGAAACTTGACTCTATATTTATTTGATAAACATACAGAATTGACAATTGCGACGATCTTTCTCCGTACTGTTTTGCCTACCTTGTGTTCCCATGCGTACAGCTAAAGAGAAATGGTCTGTCAAAACTTGTCAAGCTCCGCCCGCTTAATCTGTGTTGAGTAATAACAGAATCACAGCGAGACGGTTTAACAGGGTGTCAGTATGACTCCAGTCTCATTACACCCATTAGGGAAAAAAGGAGAAAAAAACCCACCAAGAATTCATGGGTTTCTTCAGACCAGGTTTATTATAACAAATTTTAACTTTTTTTGTTATATGAAGGTCACATTAAAATTTAAATACATTTAGATACAAAATGAAATGTAACAATACTTATTGTGTGAAAAATCATTATATGAATTTTAAGACACAGATGGCTATCAAAAGGCTGTGACAGGCAGATAGATAGATAGATAGATAGATAGATAGATAGATAGATAGATAGATAGATAGATAGATAGATAGATAGATAGATAGATAGATAGATAGATAGATAGATAGATAGATAGATAGATGACAAATATACAAGCAGATAAATGTTATAAATAATTAAATAACATGTTTTTATCAGGAGAAAATATTTACATAAACATGTTCAGGACCATATACGTTCATATTCTTTTAGACTTATAAAAGCATAAATTATAGCAGTGGATAAAGCCATAAAAACAAGATAAGATGCCAAATTTTCTTTGTTGTCTATTAATAAGGAAGCCAGTGTAGTTATATAACTATATAATTTGTAAACATCTAGTGTGAAGGTATTAATAAAGCCAGAGGAGTGTTTATAGAAGTTTGTCTTCTTTCAGAGTGGTGGTCAACTGCAAATCATTTCGGATGCTGTTAAGTTCCACCAAGCCCTCCTGTAGCTGGTCTGCCACCTCTCTGATTTTCGCAGCAAATTCTGACTTTGCACCATTTTTAAGCTCATGAGAGTCTTTGGCCACAAAGTAGATGTCCATTCCGACAAAAAGCCCAGTCAAAACCCCTGTGGATATACTAGCAATCTGCACAGCACGTGCTGCAGTGGTTCCTGCTACATTGGCTATCTGCATCACACGCATAATCTCATTGGCGTTAGTTAGAATAGCTTTGCCCGCCATGGCACCATCCTCATAAATATTGTCGAAACAAGGGAAGTCTCGATTATAGGCATGCTTCTTCATCTTATTCAGGTTGAACTTGCGTAGGTTTGTAATGCCTTGCTTGATGAACTTCATGCTTTTGTTAAGGTCAGCCATCTTCACCTTGTAGTCTTCCACAATGCGCTCCACCTTCTTGCGATCCATTGAGTTGTTGACGGTACTGGATATCCCAGCGGAGGCAGAGGTAAGCCCGCCTGCCATGGCAACACCAAGGCCAACCGCAGTGACAATCAGAGAGGTTCCCATGGTGAAAGGTGCCAAGATGAGGCCAGTTATGGTAGCAACACCTCCCACAGCGCTGGTGGAGCCACCGGTGATCTGGGCGATTTTAGTCTTCTTGTTGAATCTGTCCAGGCCATCGGCAATGGCATGCAGGTCAATCACATGCTGCCATAGTCCTTCTGCTCTCTCTGAGAAAAGTTTATTAAACACGCAAATGCCTTTTTGCACCTTCTCAGCAGTTACAGCAAAAGCCCTGAGAAAAAGGCCAATGGTCAGTCAAATTCTCTTTATTTCCATATCACACACACACACAGAATGAATTGGGACTTACTTGGCTTCCTCTTTCTCTGTCATGTTGTCACTTTTGGGCATGTCCTCCCATTCTGAATTGGAAAAAAGAAAATGGGAGGACAATAGCTATGAATATCAAGTCACAATTAGAATGGGCCATCTGTTCAAAGTTGGTTACATTAATATTAGTTTGTCTAAACTAAGAAGTTAAATTATGGTAGGTAGGGGATTATTTCTGAAAGTGGGCAAACAGTCACGCCAACATGATGGGAAAAACTCACGTTCCACAGTGTTCCACCAATCCATGAGGCCATCAAGATCCTGTGATAGATACATTTATGATAACTAAAAAATTGTCTATTTTAGAAAATAAAGTCAAGGATCTATATTTAATGAACCAAACCTCCTCATCCTCTTTCTCATTTTCACTTAAACGGAACTCATCTAGCCATTCCATGAGGGACTTCTTGTGTCCTTTAGTCTGATAAAAAAAAAACACAAAAAAAAAACAGAAAGTAACGTCAGGTTATTCTGCAAGCAGAGATTGGACAATAATGTGTAAAAGAGAACTTGATGGGAGAATTCCAATGCAGAAACACACAGAAATTGCAGAAGTTGCGTGTCAAATAGGAAGGTAGTTTGTTCATGTGGTTTTGTTTTTGTCACAGGTTACAAAAAAAACACTATTTCTTGTGGCTGGTGCAATACAATATAGGGGCCAAATCAAATTTGCAAGATAGTTTTTCCCTCCTAAAATAATAATAATTGAGTTCAGTTTTTTTAAATCAAAATACAAAACTAATTTATTGTCACCTGACCTGTAGCATAAAACAGCTTATGAAGGTGGGGTTTTTATATATTTAGGATACCACAACAGTCTCTTAGTTCTCATTCTTTGCCTGGTTGTGTCTTGTTTTCAGTGTCACAAGTTTTATTTTGATTAAAAGAACTGCTAGGACATTTCAGCACCTCTGCAAGGTCACTGCCACCGCCACTGCCTCCGCCTCCATTTTGGTTTCCATTCTTTTTCTGCGTTGTTTTGTTCTGTAATAACAGCACATGATTTCACTGAATAACAACTGTGAGCATGTAAAAACGTAAGAAGGAAAAATACTTGTTTACCTTTGGTACAACCTGGGGCATAAATGGATTTTTGGATTTCTTCTTTTGTCCTTTTTGCTGTGAAAATGTCATATGATATAAAGCTGTTCAACTGGAATGAAGTCCAGATCACCTGTTTTGGTTCTCTGGAAAAATGCACTGCTAAGGGCATCAGTATTCACTTAAAATGATAAGATGGGTGCAATTACTTTTGTATTTTCCTCTTCTCCAGGTGTCTCAGCCACTGTGTCGGGAATATTTTCCAGGACCTCATTGCTATCGCCCTGCAATAATGAGGAGAATGCATATAACCCTATTCCTATGATTCAGATATGACTTTAAAAAGTGTGTTTTTTAAATGTGTTTGGCATATAATCTGTGTTAAAGAAAAAAAAAGAGAATACAGAACCTAAATTATGAGAAAATATAAAATGATAAACTAAAAGAAGTGACATTGTTAAAAACTTTAGGTAACCTGTCATGGTTGCCAGTCAAAATAGCACCAATAACTGCATTCATGCTTTAGACAAGTGTTTAAATTATAGCCTCACCACTTGCTTTGTTATTGAGTTACATAATTCAACCTGTGTAGATGATCTTGGACAACAATTTGAGTCATATTTCACCTGGCATTCTAATGTGCAAGTAGGTGCTTGTCTTTTATGTTCAGTTACAGCGATTTAGGCTGGGCCAATAAAAAACGAAAAGTATTGCTCAAAAAGCCCAAAGGCATGGCATTTTCAGATAACAGCTTCCATACCAAGTTGGACTTGCACAAAATACCTAGATGAACAGAAGCAACTTAACTAGTCTGTTTCAACATGTTTTCAATAAAGCTTATAGTTTAGGGGTGATGTTTATGCTGTGTGTGTATATAATATACATACATTTATATATATACACACACATATACATATATGCCCATTTTAATAATCAAACAATACAGGAATTTTTAATTATATTATAACTTAATATAATAATACTATTTTTAACAATAAAATATTATAAAACAATAATACAATTCAAATAAAATAAAATAAATAAAATGCACCATCACATTTTGGTAGTCTTTGGTACTCTAGTTTGGCACTTAACCGTTCCTCATATTATAAACCAGTGCAGAGATGAAAATGCATATTTACCTTCTTATGGGTTGATTGGCTCTCAACATCAACCAGCTCCTCTGCATCTAAACCAGAACCCATATCCTGGTATAAAAGAGAAAAGTGCATCATTGACAATAATTTGATGAAAATGCCCTTGTCTTTTGAGATTCAATGGTTAAAGGCAGCCCTGATCCATCCAATTATGTGTGTAATAAATCTGAGCTGTAATTTAGCTTGCAAATAATTAACAAAACTGGGTTACATCTTTAACAAGTATGCCCACCTGCATGGATATTGACTGTTTAACGTCAGGTTTATCAGTGGACTCCAAGAACTTTTGTGTTTTTTCCATGCCCTGCTGGGGAAGCAGATGCCTTCCTATTACAACATGTTTTATCACCTATCAGAACTAGTGACATTATTAAAAAGATAGTCTGTAAACTGTTAGTAAGGTTTAACTTACAATAAATGGAACATAGAATACCTAGAAAGGTGAGAGAAGTGAAAGTGAGAGGGACAGAGTGAAATATAGTAGGAGTAGCAAGACAGACAAGGACTTACTTCAGCAGTGGAGGGCTCGCCACAGTTGTCATCGATTTTAAAAAGTTCTCTGTCCATTATAAGAATGTCCTAAGAGAGGACCAAGAAACAGATAAAAGGACTGAGAGTCAGAAGAGTAAAAATAGGACTATTAAACACTCATGATGTTGCGGTCAGACCAAACATCATCACATGCTGAAGGTTCACTTTGAACTGGGAGGTCATCCTGAGACAGAGAAAGAAAGGCGTTTTTGTTGAAAAATGACCTTCATTAATCAACACTGAATGCTAAGGCAAAGCAGATCAGCAACATCTATAACTGCCTAGGTAACGTTACAACATAAATATAAATATGAAGACAAATAGAGGAGTGACAGCAGTAGCCTACAAGGGCATTTTAGAAATTAAATCAAATTTTTAAAATTAATTTAAAGTAACGGTAGTCTTGAAGCCTCGGGTAAGTCAACAATCCACAGACTGAGTCAATTCAAATCACGGGATTTATAACAAATAAACGTATCCATATGCCTCTCTCGGTCGTTTTCTGAACATGGCAGTGGTTTCCCAACATACATATTAAAGTTTGCACAGTTGTTTTACAAATAAAAAAAAAGTAGTTAAAGTTGGAGCAAGACATACTCAACTTACCACACAGGCGTAACGTTAAACCGCACACTTTCCTGAGGAGAAAATGTTGAATCGAGAATAAAAATAAACCGGTGATCTATCTATGAAATGAAAGACAACTGTGTACCTTAAATTGTTTCCATGTTATTTTCTTTTGACGTGCAGTGGTTTGCCTCGCAGTGTGAAGTATCGAAATGTTATTAACTCCGCCCTTGGCTTTCTTGCTGTGTTTGTGAGATTGTTATTTTGTAAATCCATTGACGGCAGACAGGTGGTGCTATTCAGCAGGGCAGGGGGCTGGGGGCCATGGGCTTGAGGTTATGTTTGGTTTGGGCCCTATAGCTTACTACAAATTACCTCAACTAAAACATCATTACGGAGTAGCACAAAATACACAAAAATGAAAATATGCTTGATGTTCATAGAACAATTAATATGCAACATGCATAGTCAAAGTTTAGATGTAATATCAAATAGACATTATATAATACAATAAAATACAGGGTGCTCTTTCTCATGAGAGAAACACTGAGCAATAAAGCCAGAGATAGTATTATAGAAATCTATTGTCATATCTGTGTCCTCTTCATAGACTGTAAAAAATAGGTCCTCTTGTTAGATTCTTAAATTCAATTAATAAATTAAATCTGAATAAAATACACTTTATGGCTACAAAACAATCAATTGAAATCACTATCAACAAAATCCATAGATGGATTTTGCATAAATTATATTAAGAGATTAATGTTTTAAATATATATATTTTTTGTAGAAATATTAAATTATTGGAAAAATTAAATAGGCTATAAATTATGAAAGTATAGGCCTATACCCACCAGTAGGTGGCGGCAAATTATTGAGTTGAATCCTTAAATCAACAGATTCGTTGAAATGATTAGTCATTTAACTTATCAACGACTGTATTTAGGCTAGACTGCTTGAATCATTTAGGCCTACTCATCTGAGGAAGAAAACACTGTGGTGCTCGGAGACGCTGCTGTTCTGCTGCCGCTTTTCCAGGACCGAACGTTATAAATGCTTCCAGTTGTATTTCCACTTGAGCTTGGCTGGGCGCTTTGAGGAGCGTAAAATTAATAATACAATTAATTAAAAGAAATATCTGATCATCCTCCAACAGGCTTCCTTCACTGCTGGTCAGTGGTCACTGCTAAGTCTGCTGCAGTGGTGGATTTTTTTAAACTCTTTTGTCACAATGGACCACTGGACATTGTCTTATGAACATTATAAACACGAGACATCAATTCACGAAACATAATATAAAAACTATAGTTTTAAGTTGTCATATAGATATATATTTTTTAAATTGCCATTTTGTATTGATTTGGGAAAATATGATCCAGATTATCACAGTGTTTTGTCAGCTGTCACTCTGTAAATTCCATAGTTTTTGCAGTCCAAAGTCTGTTTAAACAGTTACGCAAGTTGTGGTCTTTAAGAGAATGTTATTCAGTTAATACATCACTAGAAGGTCTAACAGACAGAACAATAAATAATGTTGATTTTTATAACAGTTTTAATGGTCAATGTGTGGGCTATACCAGCAGATGATTTATTTTCACCAAACATAAACATCCTTGAAGAACTGGGAAAGATGGGAGCAAGGATGGAATATATGGAGAAGGAAATGCAGCGACTAAGAACTGAAAACACAGGTAATAGCCTATTACATGAATGAAGGTACTAAACAAAGGTGCTGTAAAATGTTATTATTATTATTTAAAGGGTTAGTTCACCCTAAAATGAAAATTATGTCATTAATGACTCACCCTCATGTCGTCCCAAGCCCGTAAGACCTCCGTTCATCTTCGGAACACAGTTTAAGATATTTTAGATTTAGTTCTGTCCCTCCTTTGAAAATGTATGTACGCCGGTATGCTACTGTCCTTGTCCAGAAAGGTTAGAAAAACATCATCAAAGTAGTCCATGTGACATCAGTGGGTTAGTTAGAATGTTTTGAAGCATCGAAAATACATTTTGGTCCAAAAATAACAAAAACTACGACTTTATTCAGCATTGTATTGTCTTCCGGTTCTGTTGTCAATCCGCTTCAGTGACGCTGATGACGTAAGACGCTGCTGACGTGTATCTGGTGCATCCGTGTATTCGGGTTCAAATAAATATGGCTGGGCAAAATAATGCAAGTCTTCCTCCGTGGCGAAATCCTTAGACATGTTTGCGAAGATTGCTTTGTTTACAGCGTGCGTCTCCCTCAGACTGTAAACGAAGCTCGGGCGCACCGGATTACACGTCAGCAGCGTCTTACGTCATCAGCGTCACTGAACGCGGCTTGACAACAGAACCGGAAGACAATACAATGCTGAATAAAGTCGTAGTTTCTGTTATTTTTGGACCAAAATGTATTTTCGATGCTTCAAAACATTCTAACTAACCCACTGATGTCACATGGACTACTTTGATGATGTCTGTATTTCCTTTCTGGACAAGGACAGTATACCGTACATACATTTTCAAAGGAGGGACAGAAAGCTCTCGGACTAAATCTAAAATATCTTAAACTGTGTTCCGAAGATGAACGGAGGTCTTACGGGCTTGGGACGACATGAGGGTGAGTCATTAATGACATCATTTTCATTTTTGGGTGAACTAACCCTTGAAGAAACTGACTGACTGACCACACTGGAGAGACCAGTTTGTTTCCTTGAGCATAAAGCTTAAAGGGATAGTTCATCCAAAAATGAAAATGCTCTAATCATTTACTCACCCTCAAGTTGTTCCAAACCTGTATAAATTTATTCGTGGAACAGCTGTGTCGTCATCAAGTCAAGTCACATTTATTTATATAGTGCTTTTTACTATACATATAGTTTCAAAGCAGCTTTACAGAGATAACAGGAAAATAATGCAACAAAGTTTGTTTCCAGAAGAAAATACGGTCACAGTCCAGCTTAAGTAAGTTCAGTGATGTTTCATTTTTATTGTAAAAAGTTATTAATTTAGTTCATTTATATATAGCCGCTCTGGAGAAAACCGTGATGTCATCATCCAGCTCAGTTCAGTTCTCATATAATGGTGTCCATGCAGGCGGATCAATATAATTGATGAATATTAAATTAAATGTTAAATTTAATGTCCCCAACTAAGCAAGCCAAAAGCCAATGGCAACAAAATTGAAAAAAAGGTGACAATGGCAAGAAACCAAAACTCCATCAGGTGGCAGAATGGAGAAAAAAAACTGGGGGGCCAGTTCTCCTCTGGCCAACGAACGAACTGTATGATTTATGATTCAGGCAGCATTATTGGTCAGTAGTTAGATTGGAACAATCAGAATTTTAGAGCTTGTGCAGCCGCTGTGAAGAAGCTGTGCCGTCTGCTCTCGAATCGCTCCCGCGGTAGGCTACTTTGATGTTACAGTGGCGGTGTCGGTGTTCTGACGATTTGTGCTGCCTTGTCGAAAAATGCTACCGTAGCGCGAATCGATCACAGAATGTCGATTAATATTAAATGAAATACAATTATAACACAATTCTAAGTTATGAGTAGCTACTGTATAGCCTACTGTAGACTACTGTTTTTATTTTTAAAACGGTGTGAAAAGTAAAAATTATCATCAAATATTCATCTTTGACTTGTTAAAGCACACCTTTCCTTAGTAACTGAAACTTTCAGTTATTCTTGTTCAGCTGACTGACCGTAAAAAATATTCATATGGTAGTTGGCATTTTTAAAAAGGAAATTACTTTATAACACATGAAAATTTACCTTTTGTTAAAAAAAAACTGAGTCTGCACATGCGCATAACCAGTAAGTAGCAAATCTCGATGGGTAGCATGAATCGTCAGAACACCTGCACTGTCTCAAGTCGGACAAAATTTCATGGCATTTTCATTAAATGGCATGCACTGCTTCAAGCCAGACACAGATCGGAGCGTCATGAAGCAGTGTTTAACTTTTGAAAGCGGCCATCACTATTCGAACCTCCTGGGAATCACCCGTTTTAAAAAATACCGAACAGAGGAGCATCTGCTGACAAAAGAACCCGACAAAAATGAAACAGGAATAAATGATAGTTGTGTTCGACTTGTGGTGCTGTGCAGATCGATCATTGTATGACATTATCAAAAGTACCGTGAGAGCAATTAGAGAGCAGATGGCGCCGTTTGCTTTCGAATTGCTCTTGCGTTATTTTGATGTCATCCACCGATCGGTTTGCGCAGCGCCACTTCAAGTCAAACACACCTAGGCCTATAGGCTTTTCGGAGATGGCGAGTATCAAGGGATTTGAAATGCAAAAGTGACGTGTAGCATTTTTATTACTCAACAGGTGAGCAAGGTATTTTATTGAACAGATAAATTGCCATATGTATCTCTCTAACAGGGTTAACTGTAAAGCATTATCTATTGTGAAAAGTCATTTTTGTATAGTGCTAGGCCTATATTGTTGTATATTCTATATTGCTGAAATTTAGTTTCAAGGAAGTATAGGCTACCGTGTATATTAATGGGTATAATTACAGTAACATCTTCAGCTAGTCATCTTGAGATCCTTTCTATCTAAACTGCATATGTTATCTCTTAATAGTGAATGTATTATGAGCAATAGGATAATATCTCTCTTTTTTTAGTTATGAGAAAGAACCAGTAAAGCAGAGCCGAAGCACAACCAAAACAATGTTCTTCCGCAAAATGCATGCAATTTTGTTTTTAACCATAGTTTACCTTTAAGTTCAACAAGAAATAGCACTACAAAGATTAAATGAAAAGATACTCAAGGGTTTTTCTTTTTGCTTGCTTGATAATTTTATTCTCATCCCTTTTTTGCAGAAAGGGTGAAAGTAGCCTTTTCAGCCTCACTGTCAGCTTCAACGGATGTCAAATATATTGGCCCTTATGCAGAAGCAACCAATCTTGTGTATGAAAATGCATTTACTAACATTGGAAATGCTTATGACATCAATACAGGTATCATAACATCGCACAAAGAAATTCTTAACACAATGCTTTAACAATTTTATCATGTCATTTATTATTTAAGAACCCAAGTTTCTGCCATTATCAGGAATCTTCACTGCACCAGTAAAAGGAGTTTATTTCTTCAACTTTGTGGTCTTCAATCCTTATGCCATATCGACCGGTGTGAGACTGCTAAAGAACGGCAATTTTGTGGTTGCAGCATCAGATAACCCTCCCGGGCAAGACACAGAGGACACTGCGTGCAACTCTGTCACTCTTCTGTTGGAACAAGGGGACCGGATACTTCTTCAGCTCTTACAGAACTGTCGTATCTACACAGATATGTGGAAACGAAACACCTTCAGTGGACACCTTCTTTTTACCATGTAAAGTTATTGCCCATGTAATTTGGCTCAAATGCAGTGTTTTATTTAGATACAAAAAATAAAGTAGAAAATCGAATTTTCTTGAAGCTGTCAACGTGCACTTGGCAGGACAAAAATTGTCTTCAGACAAGTTGTAAAATAGCTTACAAAAATCCTTCAAATGTAGCACGTTACTTTGATGTTGTTGGTTTATTATTCATTAATATTAAATATATAAATCACGTTATTCATGAATAAAGACATATATTGCTAGTAAAGACACCAGGAAACTAACGAATGAACAAAAATCTCACAAAAGGAAAAAATTAATCCTTCTTAACCCTTTCACACAGATGTCACTAGTTGACATTCAAAAAGCATTTTATTGCGTATGCATGATTTAATGGCACAGTTGCACATCAACCAACCACTACAGTGTCATAGTCTGAATTGGGTTTCCACAGAGTTGTACCTTCACCGATTAGAGATTTTTGATGGAATCACATCCTCATGTTCTGATATCAAAGACATATGACATTCAACGTGTATGAAATTCTTCTCTGTCTGCTGGTCGAACGGTAACAAACTCAATTGCGTTTGCAATAATTGAAGCTGTTTTATATTTATTGTATTTTATAGTTTTTACATGATTTTTAATTGTATTCATTGGTTTGTTAAATCCACCCAGTATTAGCTATTACTGTATTATGTTTAATACAGTTTCTCTTCAGTTAAAAACATAAATGCATACTCAAGTGGACATCTGACAATCTAAAATATGTGTAAAAAAAAAAATTCAAATCTTGTTTTTCATGCAATAAGAACAAATTGTAAAAAAAAATCTGACTGTGGTTAGTATAATTCATGCATGAAAGGGTAAAACATGATCAAACAAAACAATGTACAGTGGTTACTTACTACCACCTTTACAAGCTTTTAAGTTGCCATTTTGTATTGATGGGGAAATATAATCCAGCATCACAATGTGTTTGTCACTCTGGAAATTCCATGGCATACACCAAATATTGCTTCAAAATGCAGTCCAAAGTCCCTTGGTCTGTTTAAACAATTACGCAATGGTCTTTAAGACAAGTGAATGTTATTCAAATAGAACATCACTAGTAACAGACAGAACAATAAATAATGTTGATTTTTATAACAGTGTTGATGCTTAATGCTTGGGCTATACCAGCAGATGATATTTTTTTACCAAACATAAATATCCTTGAAGAACTGGGAAAGATGAAGATCATGGAAACAAGGCTGGAATCTATGGAGAAGGAAATAGAGCGACTAAGAACAGAAAACACAGGTAATGTGACACTGCTTACAAATGTGAAGGACATTGACAACTTTAATAAAATATAAAACTAGTTTCCATCAAAAACCCTTAATTAAAAGGTGAACTAGGCGGGTTTGTATAACTTATTAAACAAAATGAAGGTAATAAAAGATAGTTTCATCATTGACAAATCTCACATATTAAGGCTAAAAACAGCATAAAGGTCGAGGCTTCAATTGATCAGAAATGTTTTATGTAAATAAATTAATGTTTATTGATCAATGATTATTATTTTAGCTCAAGGTAAGGAACTGGACACATTGCGTGAAACAACAAAGGACGTAAAGACCAAAATGGATGATCTAATAAAACAAAATGAAGGTATAACTTTAAATGACAATTTTGTTTATTAAATATTATACAAGACTCATAAATGTTTTAGCATTAGCAAATTATTGCAGGGCTGCTGAACTACAGCCACAAAAATTCATATATTTAAATGTTGAATAAATGTATTTCTCAATGTTGAATTTTGTGATTTATATGCATCTTTTTTCATTTAAGCTTTGTAATCGTAAGGTAATGCCGTTTATAAAGAATCTCAGTTATATACTTTCTTTATCATAGGTAAACCTTAAAAATTAACGTAATTAAATACTTTTTTAATGATGCAACCTAATTTACATATTTTGTCTTAGTTTCAAAAGTGGCTTTCTCAGTTTCTCTGTCGTCAACTTATGGGCCGCTTAGCAGTTTACACACCCTGATTTACAAACACATCTTCCTCAATACTGGAGAGGCTTATGACACAAATACAGGTACAGTAAACCACTTTATATACTGTGACTTTTTTTAATCCTGATTGATTTATGTAATTTTTGTCTGATACAGGAATCTTTACAGCACCCATGAAGGGAGTGTATGTATTCAGGCTTTTCTCTAAGGCCTATGGAAGTTCAGATAAAGCGGTTGTCACAGGCTTGTTTAAGAATGGCCAGCATGAAATTTCTACATATGCACGTCAAAAAGATGGTTTCATCGGTTCTTCAAATGGAGTTTCTCTGCTGCTTGAAAAGGGGGATAAAATATATGTAAATCTCTACCCTGGATATTGGATTTTTGACAATGAACACCATCACAGCACCTTTAGTGGACATCTGCTTTTCCTCATGTGATCGGAACCTACATAGAACGTCTTTGGACATCAAGACTGTAATCAATCATACAAGATGTTCCATTCACATTATTTTTTCTGTCTGTAAGACTAAGAGTGAATGAATTTGATAACATTTTCAGTAAATTTGATACTAACTTGTACTTCAAATGTATCGGCACCTATAAAGTAAGTTTTGTCAAAAGGCCCTATTTGACTCATATGTGTGTCAATGTGTCAAATGTAATCCATAAAAGAATTTGATCAAAATAGTAAACTTTGAGTGTCACATTATTTCATCATCTAATGCTCTTTATCTGTTTTCTGGAGTCTTCTGTTCTCTCAAGTGAAGTGACGTGATGTGCAGGACATGGTAACCCATACTCGAAATTTCTCCTCTGCATTTAACCCATCCAAGTTATTGCACACACAAGCAGTGAGTAGTGAACACACACACACGGAGCAGTGGGCAGCCATTTATTGTGGCGGGCGGCCAGGGAACAATTGGTGTTCCTCGCTCAAGGGCACCTCAGTCGTTTCCTGCAGGTATTGACAATCGAATCTGCAACCTTCAGGTTACAAGTCTGACTCTCTAACCATTAATGCAAGAGCAGGAAAAGGATTGGGCAAAATAATGCATAAATAATTAATATAATATATGCACAATATATAAATGGGTAAATCTTAAAAGTGAGTCCAATTAAACATTTTTGTGATTTGTAACACATTTTGCAAGGGGCTTTCTCAGTTTCTCTGTCGTCCTCTGATGGGCCGCACAGCAGTTTACAACACCCTGATTTACAAACACATCTTCAATACTGGAGATGCATACGATGCAAATACAGGCACAGTAAATGACTTCTGTGAATGTGACTTTTTTTTTACAACCTTTAAAATTAAATGTATTGGGGTCTGATACAGGAATCTTTACGGCACCCATGAAGGGAGTGCATGTATGCTTTTTTTCCCTCAGGCCTGAGGTTGATATAAAACGATTTCCACAGGCCTGTTTAGGAATAGCCAACATGAAATTTCTACATTTGCACAACAAGATTATGGTTTTATTGGTTCTTCAAATGGAGTTTAGCTGCAGTTAGAAAAGGTGGGCGAAATATATGTATTGGATTTTTGACAACTGAACACCATCACAGCACTTTTAAATGGACATCTGCTCTTCCCCATGTGATCAAAACATACACAAGGTCCACTCACAAGCATTTCAGTAGATCAGAAGGCTTTAATCCCAAAATAATGTTCAATGCCATATTATTGCCTTCCAGTTTTAGGTTTCCACAGTGCACATATACAGGAATCAAAATCCTTACCCTTTAATTTGAGTTATTAATCTGTTTTTTTGTCTGATATAGGAATGTTTTCAGCACCTATGTGGCAAATACAAGATATTTCTCTACACATTTGGAAATTAAAATAGGCCTATATGGTAAAAGTAGCCTACGATATGTTTAATTTTCACTATATTGAAAATAACCTTGTACACTTTAAAACTACATTTCTTGATTTGTATATTAAATTTTAGCATCAAGGCAAATTTCCAATAATGTTAAAAGGCCCTAGATTGTGCTTTGGAGTCATTGATCTAAATGAATACAAAACATGAATAAAAAACCATTTGGGGGTACTATTAGCTCAAAGTCGGGGCTTATTTCCTGTATAGTCTTTAGATGCTTTTGTTTTAGTGGTCACTTCTAAGGCTGTATATAAGGTCAACACCTTTAAGGACTGCCCACTGAATGCCTATAATAGGCTAATAACTTTATTTTCTATAACGCCTTTAAAGGAGCTTCTCAAAGCGCTTTACAGTAAGAAAGAACAGGTGAATTAAAATAAACAAGAAACCAGCTATTGTTACCACAATCAGCAATAAGCTAACTTTAAAAAAAATGTTGTTTTCTAAGAGACTGTGCTTCCCGAATTTCACCTGGAAGGTTCCACAACCTAGGAGCAGCTATAGAAAAAACTCAGTCACCCATGAAACATAACCGTGTTTGATGGACAACCTACAAACCATGCTGAGAAGAGCAAAGACTTCAGTTTGGAATTTAAGGTGTTAAAAGTTGAGATAAATACTCTGGAGCCAGACTGTGGAGAGCATTGTATGTGAGCATGAGAACATTAAAAACAACTCTGTATTTAACTAGCCAGTGCAGTGACTTCAAACCGGAAGTAATATGATCTCTAGTTTTGGTTCTAGTTAAAATTCTAGCTGCAGAATTTTGAACGTACTGTAACTTTTTTGAAGTATGCTTAGAAACCCCAATAAGAAGTGGGTTACAATAATCAATGCGAGAGAAAACAAACATGTTAATTAACTTTTCTGCTGCTGTTAAAAAAAAAAAAAACTCTTAACAACGTTTTGTACATGAGGATCAAATGTCAATGAGGAATCAAAAATCACTTCCAGATTCCTTAATTTCTTCTAAAACTCAATTACCGAACCATCAATGATAAGAGGTCTTTGGTTAGCCCTACTGAGCTGATGAGGAGAACCAATAAGGATGACCTCAGTCTTAGCACCGTTTAAACACAGAAAATTATTAGCCATCCAAGTGTTGACCAAGCGGGAATACATAAAGACTAAAAAGTAAGGGTCCTAAAATTGAGCCATGAGGGATGCCAGTAGAAACTGACCCAATATCAGACCTGTATACCCCTAGAGCAACAAACTGTCTGGATCCGGTCAAATAGGATCTAAACCAGTTTAAGATGGTGCCAGAAATACCAAAAACTGTTTCAATGCGTAAAAGAGTATGATCTACAGTGTCGAAATCGGCACTAATGTCTAAGAGAATAAGAATAGTATGGGATCCAGCATCAGAGGCCAAAAGTAAGTCGTTATTCACTTTAACCAGGGCCATTTCATTGCAAAGTGAAATTTCGAAAACCAGATTGAGGTTAATCAAAAAGATTACTAACAGAAAGATTATTATGCAAATGTAAAATTTTAGCCCAGAAAGTTAGATTTGATATAGGTTGATAGTTTAAATTATCCAAATCTAAGTTTCGCTTCTTGAGTACAGGAGAAACAGCAGCGATTTTAAATGAAGCTGGGACAACACCAGTACTTATGGATTCGTTAGTTATGTTAAGCACTGCTGGGCACAAATGCTCAAAACAATACTTAAACAAACCAGTAGGAAGGGGATCAAGTATGCAAGTAGTAGCTTTCATGAAACAACTGTTACAAGTGAGGCAAAATCAGGTTGGAAAACAAGAAAAAAACAAGGGGAAAAACTAAGGTGAACTACGCAGTATTGGGCATTCAAGGTGAACATAATTGCATAAGTTTACTTATTAGATTAAATAGAGTGTCTGTGGTGAGTTTTTCAGACTTTGATCTTCCTACTAAGAGTCAAACTATGTGTAAATGTTTACATGTCCTATTAGCTCATAGTTGGGGGTTATGTCCTGTATAGTCTTTAGATGCTTTTGTTTCAGTGGTCACTTCTAAGCCGTGTGTAAGGTCAACACCTTTAAGGACTGCCCACTGAATGCCTATAAAATACAATGTACATCAGACTTGAAGACTGTAGAAACCAACAGCACATTCTCAATAAAGAATCCTGCTGAAGATAAAACCGATTCTCCTGGAATTGCTAGTTACCGGCAACAAAATGTGGATTCTTGCAACAGTTGTAATGCTAAATGTGTGGGCTATACCAGCAGACGAAGTACTTTCACCAAACATAAACATCATTGAAGAACTAGTGAAAATAATGAACATGGGAACAAGGATGGAGAAGGAAATGGAACGACTAAAAACAGAGAATGAAGGTAACGTGACAGTATCCTAGATACAGGACACAAGAATTTATACATTTCTTCAGCTTTTATTTACAGTCCATGTATACACTGAACATCTGTTTGAATGATTATTATTGTAGAACAAGCAAAAGAACTGAAGATTTTGTATGACACAAAGATCAAAATGGATGAACTAATACAGCAGAATCAAGGTTTGTAAATCAAAAGACACTTTCAAAAGGCTATAAACAGCCTCAGGAAAAAGAAACTGATATAACTTTTCTACGTATTTACAGTCCCAGTCAAAATATTAAGATTGTTTAATGTTTTTGAAAGAAGTCTCTTAAACTCACCAAGGCTGTATTTATTTGATCTAAAATACAGTAAAAACATTAATATTGTGAAATATTATTACACTTTAAAATGTTTTAGGTTTAAATAGAATTTAAAATGTAATATATTTCTGTGATATCAAAGCTGAATTTTCAGCATCATTACTGCAGTCTTTAGTGTCACATGATCCTTCAGAAATCATTCTAATATGCTGATTTTGTGCTCAATTATCATCAACTAGTATTGGTGCTCAAATATTAATAATGGTGCTTTTTTTTTTATTAATCATAAAAAACATTTTTGCATGCTTTATTTTTTTGTGGAAACCGTGATACATTTTTGTCTGAATTCTTTGATAAATAGTAAGGTAAAAAGAACATTATTTATTTAAAATATATTGAAATTTGTAACAATATAAATGTCACTTTTGATCAATTTAATGCGTCCTAGCTGAATAAAAGCACTATTATTATTTCATATATTACTTATCTCAAACCTTATCATGGTTTGCCATCACGGGAATATATTACATTTTAAAACAGAAAACTATTTTAAATTGTAAAAATATTTTACAATATTACTGTTTTTACTGTATTTTTGATCAAATAAATAGCCTTGGCGAGCAGAAAAAAACATTAAAAAAATCTAAACCCCAACCTCTTGAACTGTAGTGTAAATATAATGAAATAATTTGCAATTAATGTATAAGTCTATGTTTAAAAAGTCGCTCGGAAATTCACAGAAAGCTGTTACCGCAGGCCTGTTTAAAAATGACCAGCATATAATTTCTACACATGGACACCAAGGAGGTGGTTTTATCAGTTCTTCAAATGGAGTCTCTCTGCTGCTAGAAGAAGGGGATAAAGTAAAAGTAAATCTCTATCCTGGCCAATGGATTTTTGACAATGGAGAACACCATCACAGCACATTCAGTGGACATCTGCTTTTCCCCATGTGATCTTGCAGACAGTTTATTCACCCAAAAAAGCTGTTCATACATAAAGGACGTACAATCCTTAAAAAAAAATCTATTTACTGAATATAACTACATATTAAATCAAGTGGTTGTCATTTTCATGTAATAAAAACAAAGCAAATATTCTCCATATC